AGATAGACCCGGGGAACTTGTAAACTTATCAGAAAAGTTATAATTAATACACGACATGAACTTTGATTAAATTAGAATTATCATTAATATAATATAACTAGAAGACCTGGCGAACTTCGTATCGCCCTATAATCAAGAAATATCTATTACGTTTTTTTATTTATATTTTTAATTACCAGTAAGCCATAAATCTCCGTTCTCGAGTTTTAGCGAGACTAAGGAACAGCTATCCATTTTTATATATATAGAAGAAGAAGATATTGAGTGAGGCAATCGCCATAACTAAAATCTTGTCGTACAATAATTCCCAGAATGTTCCAAACTCTGAGACAAGAAATCATTTTTTTATAATGAAACAACATCTAAGAGTCAACATATAACTGACGCCACACAATGACCTCTAGTAGGTCACAGATTTTCCAATAAGACTTTCGAATTTCGACTGTCTTCAGACTTGTAGTTATGAGTGAGTAGCAAAAGTAATTGTAACCGTTTAAAGTATGCATAATAAAACGATTCATAAACACTCCTGTTAGGATAGAAAATGACGTATTACCAGGACCTCGTCATCTGAGATAGATGTTTCATGACATCCTATAGAAAATAATTTGATAAAATTCTAATATAAAGATCAAGTAAGTTTTTGTGTTTTGCTGGAACCTTAAGTTGACGATGATCCTCGCCAGCATCACTAGAGAGGAAATATATTAAGATCTGAAATAACAAACATATTACAAAAAGAACAAACTGAACTACAGTTAGTTAATGACACATGACGCTGACAGAAACATTATAACATGAATTATGTTGGTTGTTGACTCATTTGTAACTACTTAATATAGTACTTATTTACAACTGCATCGAATATCTTTTATATTTTGATAAGAACATTCATATAAAACGTAATTTTTATTCTTGAATTGCAAATAAAAAAACTGTAATGTAAGTGCGTGCGTAAGGCCTCGGCCTCGAATTTTGCGGGCAGCGGAGCGGGAGCGGGAGCGGCAGGATCTTACGCGTATAATCCAATGGACCGACCCTCGAATACAGCGGTGCCCGCTGCCCGCTATTTTGGAGAAATGTATGCGTTTCCGTGCCACCGCCGCTGCCGCTCCGCTGCCCGCAAAATTCGAGGCCGAGGCCTAAGGGAAGCTACTTTTGATTCGTAATGCTGTTCTGATGAGAAGAAAAAAATCTATACAAAATCCCATGAACCAAACTGAATACATCGAAATAAATGTCTGAACTAAATTAAGTCATATTGTTATTCTTAATATTACATGAAACTTATTTAATATTTACAAATATTCATTGTCAACCTCGGGGTTAATTTACAAGTAGATTCCAGCTGTGGTCAAGTTACTACAGCTCTAATATGGGAAGTACCACTCTCTCACAGAAAAATGGCGTGAAGTAGTTTTTAATGGTTGCACTTAGACCGACGAGTGAGAGAGCCAGTTGTGCTTTTTCTTATCTTACTCCTTCCTCTCTCTCTAGTCTCTCCAACAAGGCTGGAGCCACATCTGTAACATCCTTTATGTTGTACAGGTCCACGGGCGACGGTGACTACCTGCAATCAAGTAACCCGGCTGTTCGTTGGCCACCTTTGAAATAAAAATAATAATTATCATCTTTATATTACAGGGAAGTAAATATTTAGGTTTAGATATTTCTCTCTGAATAATATAATTATATTTAGGTTTAAAGAATTTATTCTCAAAAAGACATAGTCACTTACATGAGAACATACATACAAAAGTGAAAATACAAAAAGTAGTCGTCAGATTATTTGGAACTCAATTAAAGATAGTAAGATATTATTACAAGTGTGTTACATCGTTGGTACATATGTATATCAATTAATTATTTTGTAATATAATATGTTGTGAAAGTTGAGATTTAAATTCGTTAATTGAGCCTAAGCTTATATTTTAATCTTTAATAACTCATACTTAATTGAATTTTAATAATATTTGACATGGCTCGCCGAGAAATAATGGTTCCTGTAATTAGATTTTTCGAGCAACGTGTTAAATTAATATAATTAAGGTTTATTTAATAAAGAATATAATAATTGGTTACAATTTTTTTATACATTGTTTAGATTACGGTTTCAGAAAGATCATTCCAGCAGCAAAAATTTCTCATGTGAATACAAAGAAAACACGTTGCGGCCAAAAAGTTAAGAAGTTTCAGTTTTTCCTTATAACGGCCCAGACTCTTCAATGATGAATCATGAATATTACTTATTATTTCACGAGAGTGTGCGTCTTATCAACATAGCATTTGTCTAATATAATGGAGACGGACGGGACGTTGTTACATTTATACAAAACCTGTTTTTTAGATATAACACTTCTTTACAAAATGAAATACATTAGATTGTTCTTTCAAAACATATTAGAATTCAAAGTGTCTTAAAAAAACTGATTAAAAGTATCGTGACAAATACGTACTGAGCGAAACAATGCACGAAAGTTATAAAAATGAAAATATGTAGTATATTTATATACATGGAGTCTTCATAATTCCACCTTATGTGAAGCACTTGGACGAATGAATGAAAGATTTATGACGGATCAATAAAAAATAATTTCTGAAATAATAATTGTTATAACCTAACATACGTTTCATCTGAGACATCGGTAAATTTTACCCGCCGAGTTAAAAATATAGCTGGCTAATAATTTGTTCGTTAATGTTATCGTTCTAGGACAACGTTCCACCGCATAATCGTATAATTTCCAGCTCTTTGTTTCATAAAATGTATTTAAATATTCATTCTTCACAAACATAACAGGTTGTAGCAGCCAGGAGAAATAATTGAACATAAAAGTTAAGTTACGAGAATTTTCTGAAAACTTTCCGAAGTGATTTGAACATTTTCTCATCCGCAGTATTATATACGTAGACTAAAATGACGTTGTTTTGTTTATAAACTGGTATTACTGCAGTAACTTTATAAAAAATGTGAACATACGTATTTTATTTTAATTATAACCCCATGCCACCCTACAATGTATAATATTTTTCACATACAGTGTGAAATACTTGTCATACTTGCTTAGCTACAAAGACGATTCTTAAAAGCGTTCTGCAGTTCATATTTTTCTTTAAATAGAAAATTGTCTGTATTCAAAAACGTTTAATAACTTTTTTATGTAATGTACGAATCTTTTGATGTAATAAAATAGTTTGTCAGGTAAAATATGCTTTAGAACTTCTTAATCTGTTCAAACTGGGAAAAGACCTTAATAAAAGGAATTCTTCGATAAAGTGAAAGTTTTAGAAGATATCTTTAATATTTTAGTGTGAAAATCAAGAAAGTATTTTAGTATAGACGAAACGATATAATAGAATTTTATCTATAGTAACAAAATTTTCGACCATTTTGTGTTCGTCGTATTGATTTCGGAGTTAATTAGATGAGATTTGTTCAAAAAAGCAGGTCCTTTAAAACGTTTATAACATTAACTTAGCGATGAATTATGTATTGATAGGCTTTCTGACATTTTGGGGTTTCAAGTAAGTAATTATGGCAGACTGGACGAAAAATTTAGTTATCTTTAATTCTTGTTATTTTCTGCAAACGATTAAACTTAATTTGAAAATAATGAGAAACAATTCATATTAAAATCCATATTATTTAAGCGAAGTACGTCTAGTTGCATATTTATGTAATTGTAAATTGCAATAGATATTCATTATTATATCATTATTTTATTGCAATTTAAACTTAATAGACAGACATTCTTTAAACAGGAGAAACTTGTCCATGAGGGACTTACCAGTAGATGAGTTTTATTTAAGATTCGAATGTTATATATATATATATATATATATATATATATATAAATAATTAAGCAATGTTCTTGATATCCTAAATAGAAAAGAGAGGCCCCCTTTATGTGGAAGTTTACAGAATATTCATTCTTTTATTACACGTGAATTTAAAATAAAACAAGTTTATGAAACAAATACATGCCTAAATAATAAAGATCATGTCTCAGTGTCCATCACAGCTGACAGCATCACGCGCCGTCCACCAACTTTAAATTACATTCACTAGTTCGCTGATCACAATATACAAACAGTCGCGGGAACAGGATAAAACTAGATTTTTCATCCCTAGGACTTATATAAAGAAATAGCTAGTTTGACATCAAAATAGTTATTATCCATCTAGTTCAAGATCTCTGGGCCCCCAGACCTTAGTTATTTTCTAACGGACAAAACAGATATAATAAATTAGATTAATATTAGTGTGTAACTTACACATATCTGCTGGCTTATACCGATGACCAGTTCTCAGGAAATAGGTGCTAAGTAAAAATTGTACTCATTTTTCTTCTGGTCTGAAGTTTGATTCGACGAATTTTGTAGGGAATATTGTAAACAATTTCAAATGAATACTACCACACATATGATGATGTTAAATTAGCTAATTAAGTTATAACTTAAGACTAAAGGTCCCTTAAGCAGGGGCTGAATGAATCACCGGATTGGTAATACATAGATCTCATAACTTTTTACGGTAGAAGAACTGTGTATTGAGACTTGGTTTTTCGCAGCGCACGCGACGTAAGGAATTTTTTAGATCATTTCTTTACACCTTGGGTTACATTATTGGAGTTATAGTAAGGGTCCCTAATTTTTTTTTAAATATAATATAGCCCAACTTACTCGGGAATAATGTAGCTTTCTGTTGACGCCCGTTAATATAAAAAGTTGTGGGTAAATTTGTTTCTTACGCGGGTCACCGTATCGACGATGACGATACATTTTTGAATACTCTTTGTCTGCAATAAACCTAAATATGTCACCTTTGAATATTATAATTATGTACCTATATATAATTATAATATAAAAAAACAGTCGGAATGCGTTCAGTTATAAGAGAATACGAGTTAAACAGATTAAAAAGAGTAGGAGAAAGCCACAATGAGCCACAGAGGTATCCAAAACTTTGTTCAGCTCTCTTGGAAATGGTTTTAGGAAACTTATAATTTATAAATTAGCCGGTCGATGTAATAAAAGTCGTCACAGAATTTACGCAGTTTATTGATCCTCATTAGTCTCAGCTGTATGTTCCTCAATCTGTCTACGTTGGTGAGTATCTTCTTCTTCGTTGGTGGAGTTCTACGTTGGTGAGTCTTCTGTGTCCTGCAGCAGCCCCCGGCCCGACCCCCCTCGAGCCCCTCCCAGGAGCACCATTTCCTCTGATGGTAGTTCCTGACGTGTCTCGGGTACTTCCTGTACGGTAGGCGACACTCCTTACACTTGTACAGTGTCCGTTTCCTCCTGGGCCGGTTGTCGTGTTCGCTGGCCAGATGTTTGTCCATGTTGCGGTAGTTCCCCGCTATGTATCTGTCGCAGTACACACACACCAGGAATGTGCTCCTCCGCTCTACAAGCCTCAGGTGTTTAGTTTCATGGAGGACGAGACGGAACCTGAACCATGAAGACAGATGTCAAGAAAATATATTACAATCGACCTGACAACAGACTTTCATAGGAATTTAACAGGCAGTTTGCTCTAGAATCAAATAGTTTTTCGTTTCTGAGCTCCATCATAACATGTGGTCGTACTGACAATATACAAATGCGGCAATTACTGCATCGATAATTTTTAAAGTAAATGATACTTATAACATTTTAAGTGACGAGAAAAAAAATTTTAAACGATTTGATTAGATCAACCTTTACATAACTTCTTTTGCTTCAAGATATGTCTAACTTTTGATACAGAACACGAGAAATATTTGTAGAGTGTAAACAATTCAAGTAAATATGCATTATGTATTATTAAACAATAAAATATCCCAGTAACTAGTAAGGATACTTCATGATTACCTACCTATTGGGTGATGTGAAGCCACAAAGTCTACATATGAACTGGCCGGCCATCTTTAATTCACTGCTATGAACACTTCTACATTCATCAGCAGCTATAACCCTTGTTGATACAGACTCGTCAACTTTAACTTCACCAGCAGGTTCCTCACAACCCCAACCATTTTGTTGCTGCTTATTTCCATACATTCCATCCCCGTTGTAACATTCTGTATACAACTCATCTTTAACAGCAGTAAATTGTTTCAATGTTTCCAAATCAAAGTCATCTTCATATTTTATTCTATCTACAGTATGAACATCATCACACAACTCCTCATCAATATATTCATGGCTCGAACAGTATGAGTCCATCTCTATATCAATTGATTCTTGTTTTAATTCCAACGGTTCAACCGACTCTGGAGATTTTTCTAATTTAACTTTAGCTAGATTTAATTCTATATTATTTTCCTCTTTAATAACGACATGTTTGTTTGTGTGTTCATTGTAATCATATCTTGTTGTGAAGTACAAGTCACAGATATCACAACAGTACACCGTCTGTCTCATAAGAGGTATTAAAAGGTGTGATGCGTTGTGTACTAGGTAGCTGTATCTGTAACATTAATGATTTAATATTAATAATATAATGTAACTAAAATGTCTATATTCTAATATCTATTCAATAAAAATGTGAGCTTTTCAAAGATACTTTTTTAGTACTAATTTATCTAAGTTGCCTACCCGTCATGAAATTCTTGGTCACAGAACTCACAGGCCTGCTTCGATCTTAGATACGAGTAGGAGTTATAATCATATTCTTTCTCCATTTTGATAGTCATTACACCAGAAGAGGTAATTCTATACTTGTTGAGATTAATATTAAATAGAAAAACCTTTACAAAACTATTATTCCTTCGCAGGGATCATAAAACCTCATGATTATTATTAAATATCAGAAAGAAGAGACACGATACTTATTACAACACAGCAATACTTCTTGTATTAACATTAAAAAAATAGTTTTCAAAACTATTTACAGCGTCTTACAATTATTATCGTAATTATATAAATCTTCATGATTCATTCAAATTAAATCTATATACAAATATAAATAATCATAATAAATAAATTAATAATTAAATAATAAATGAAAATAAAATGAAATCACAAATTGACATGTTTTTATATTATGACAAATGACAATTTGAACTGAGAAAGTCGTTTAAATGTGTTGTACGCATGTATCAAGTTTTAAATAAAACTTGAATAAGAAATACCTACATATTTGTTTAGTATAATTATTCTTTAATACAATTTGTCAACATTTTATGTATTGTTATTAGTTGAGGTGAAATTTCTTTTAATTGTCTTTGTCGTCAACATTGTCATAATTGTAACTTTTTTAATTACATTTTACTATTTATATTAACATTTTCCAATGTCTTTTAATATATTAGAAAAATAAAAAATGAATATTCAACAAATTATATTGTTTTCATGTACGAATTATCAACTTCCATCAATTGGTTGTCATTTATTATCACAATGACACATATGTACGTGAAACTTCAAATAATACGTACTAATACGTAATAATACAAGCAGAGGAATCTATATATTAATTTATAAATAGTATACCTAATATATGTTAGTGGTTTATATGCGGGGCTAAAAATAACATGGTGTGTAATTAAAGTAATCAAAGAAAATTTCAATTATTTACCGATTTACAGATATTGAGAAAAACATACAAAAACATATGATGTTAGATAGTGTTCATGTATTGTTTGTTTCAAACAGGATCTAAAAACCTTCGCTGAAAAAGATTTTGATCCGAAAACATGGATAAACACGGCGTGGAGCGGAGCCGGCAACCAAGAGAAAGAGGTCTCATAGTGATACTACCTGACTTATATGTGAAATAATGTGAAGACAAAACGAATTAAACATTAATTATATACAATTAAATTAAGAAATCTTTCATTTCATTGATTCATACACATTATAAAGTTCATCATCACAATGATGTAGTATGTTTATGTCTTAGTTACTGTATGATCGCACCTTATTTTATTTTGATTATTTATATTTGTATATACATTTAATTTGAATGAATCATGAAGAACCAATTCATATGGACTATATATGTGGTTACAATCTCACAAGATATAGTTCCTTGTGTATCAAACTAGTGTTGTTTTATATGAATCAGATTCCTTGCTTCAGATATTTGTAGCCAACACGGTGGCGCGGCTGCAGCTGTATATGAAGCAACTAAGCAACTCTTTGGATGAGACGGCCACACAGGTCAGAGTGAGAGAAGTGTTCTGTACATACTAGATAATAGTTAAATTTAGAACGCCCCCGTTTGTACTAAAAACTTATAATTTGTATAATGTTGGTTTAAGGAAGATTGGAATCAGTAAATTATTTTTAAAGGGCTTTGATCTGTGGATTCTTAAAGCTATAGGATATTCCAATATGAAGTGTTATTTTGAATTGCCTGCTGTTTGAGTATATGATACTGTTGAAGCTGTAATTTGTTTTTTAAATTTGACAAGTAAAAACTGTGCCATTAATAAAAATGAAACTATGGATGTTTCAAAAACGGCATACCATCCTCTTTAAAATAAACTTCCATTTTTCTTTGATCATCAGAATAACTTCTCTAATTTGAAAAACGTGTATTTATAAGAGTTACTTTGGGTGGAAGTTCCGAGTATATGTATATCTTTTCGTAAGAAGCTTTAAGGCCTTTGCGAGTATTCATTTAAATGAAATTAATATTTTTCAACTATCCGTGATCACGGTTGCCGAAAAGTTATCAAAACTTCGGGAATATGTTGCTTTTATAATAATAAAATAAACGTTGTATAATACGAAAAATATTAGTTTCATTTATATGACTTCTCAGTGCCAGGGAGAAAATTATAGTATAAAGTTTAACACTCAGCTAAACTAAGCAAGTTTTAATATGTTTTAGGAAATCTGATATTACTCATGTAAATACAAGAGAGGTCATTCAAATAATTTTATTGTATTTCCACGTTGTGTTTCATCCTTGTCTTTTGTACAGATAGTGTCGTCGATCCCTCGCACGCTCCAGGAGGCGTCTTCCTTACAGCTGGAGGCGGCCGGCCTTCAGGAACAGCTGGAAAACCTGGAACAGAACGTACAGGGAGTGGAGGAACAGACGGGACACTCCATCAAGAGTCTGCAGAAGATAGACCTGCTCAAGACGAGGCTGGAGGTGAGATGAGTGAATATAACTTGGAAAAGATACAGCGAACATAGTAGATGATATATTTATTTATTTGTTAGTAAAAACAGTAAAATGCAATTTACAGTAAATATTGACGTCCACACAAGGCTAGGTTTGTATCGTGAACAAAATTATTTCCTCGCTTTAATCCGTAGTGATAAAGTATTTAGACGAGTGACTTTTCTTTGGTGTTAAGAAAATTCAGTGAAGTAATCATTCTAAATACCATTCAGTCGGTTCTTTGAATACTTGAATCGTCTTTTAGACCTTGGTAATACTCCCCAGTCAGCGGCGTCGTCACTACGTGAAGCTGATAAGTGGGTGGCGCTCGCTCAGTCTCTGGAAGACACGCTGGACTCAGGAGTGCCCACTAACAAGGAGAAACTGGCGACACTCGCGGAACAAGTACACAGTATGACGACCAGCTTGGAGGTGAGAGGAAAATGAGAATTTTGACATCTTCATACTGGTCTTAATAAAAAAATCTGGTGAAAGACAGTTTCCAGTATATAAACGTTTGTATAATTAATTTCCAGGCGCTGAGCGACTCGCCGGAGTATGAGAGCAAGCGTCTGCAGCTGACCACTCTATACAACAGACTGGAGGCGGCCATCAGCCCGCCCTTCATGGAGGCTCTCACTATGATGGATGCAGGTAACTGTGCTGCACCACCAACCATACATTCTGACCCCTCCTCTCCTCTCTCTCTATATATATCTGTCTCTCTCTCTCTCTCTCTCCGTCAGATCGCTCGTCGTCCTACGTGTCCCTGTTCGTGTCAATGTCCCGCGTGTCGTCAGCTGTTCGTTGTTGGCGTCGAGCGTCCGCCACAACCCGCGCCTCACGCTGGACCAGACTCACGACACACACACCGCGCGCAGCCACACACCTGCTCATGGATGATGTACACGCGCAGGTACAGGGAGACACAGACAGACACAGAGAGACACACAGACAGAAGTAGGTACAGAGACAGGGAGAGACACAGAAGTGGACACAGACAGACACAGAAGTAGACACGGAGAATCACACAAACACCATTGTGACACTTGATGCATTTCATTAATATATGTTGTGTCGTGTATCGTCAGATGGAGTGGCTAGTGTCGGTGGTGAGGAGCGACGCGCCGCTGGCCGAGCTGCTGAGACTACACACGGACCTGCTGCTGGCACTCGACCCCTCACTCACTAAGGTTGATACACACATCTACAAAAGATCATAGAACAGTTCGAAAATATTAATGACTTATTAAATATAATACATTTATTCGGTATTAAATACATTATTCAAAAGTAAAACTGTTTTAAACATTAGCAAAAATAGATTAAAGATATAAAAGACTCAAAAAAATAGACAAAACCGAGTAAAAAAATTAAAATAACAGTTATTAATTGTCGTTTTGGTTGTAGATAGTGACGGCTCAGTTCAAGTTGTGTCAGTCGGCCGAGGACGGCCTGACCTACCTCACGGACCTGCGCGCGGACCTCGACCACCACCGGGACAGGGTGCAACATGTACTGGACTCACACAAGTATAACAAGGGTGAGGGAGAGAGAGAGAGAGCATTATACAGAAGACTGGCACCAAAGAAGTTTACTCACATGTTCAGCCATATATGTGAGCAGTGGCAGCTGTAGCTTAAGTGAACTCGTGCGCTGAACCACCAATTCAAAAGATTTAAAAATTACAAAATATTACTTCATCTTTATTTTTAAACTAGTTTTTGCCCGCGACTTCGTCCGCGTTAATTTCGTCATTAGTAATATAGGTATAGCTGACCGGGCAAACTCTATTCCGTCTTCAATAACCCGGTATTGGTATTTATTAAATTTCTAATGTTTCAATCGAACAGAATGATTGACATATTAGTTAGTTGTCAAGTCTAATGTCAAAAAATCGTTTGTATGGGAAATAGAAAAGGGCTGTTTTTAGGATTTTCCCGGCAATAATACCAAGTTTTCTTACCTTTTAAACCTTTCCTGGACTTCCAGGAGTATTTCAAGACTAAAATTAGCCAAATCGGTTCAGCCGTTCTCGAGTTTTAGCGAGACTAAGGAACAGCAATCCATTTTTATATATATAGAAGATTACCATTTATTAAAATATTAAATATTGATTTATTTTTTAAACATATAAAAACGTATAAAAAATTTAATTTTCCTAATTATGGTCAAAAAGTTTGAGCGCTTTACTAAACTCATATCGTGCGCTTCGGCGAGTGCACGAGGACTCCTAATATGTCTTGTATGAGATACGAGTTAATAGGCCTCGGCCTCGAATTTTGCGGGCAGCGGAGCGGCAGCGGCGGCGGCACGGAAACGCATACTATTCTCCAAACTAGCGGGCAGCGGGCACCGCTGTATTCGAGGGCCGGTCCATTTGATTATACGCGTAAGATCCTGCCGCTCCCGCTGCCGCTCCGCTGCCCGCAAAATTCGAGGCCGAGGCCATACGCCTGACGCGTGAAACAAAAGATACTTCATAGAAATGTACCGAGTAATGAGTCGGTTCTCGAGCGCCGCACGAACGGCGGAAGATTACGGAGAGCACCCGATGTATGACGAATTGAGCCGTGATTGACATCTCGTTATGTTTTGTTGCATTTTCTAATTTAAGTATTTTAGTAAAGTGCACACCGTCACTGTGTGTGAGGAGTGTGTGTCTATACAGTCAGTAACGCAGTGTGTGTGTATCACAGAGGTGGTCCCCGAGGCGTGTGTGCGCGAGCTGGGTGTGTGTCTGTACAGTCCGCTGAAGGCGCTGCTCCCTCAGTACACGGAACTACAGACGACGCTGCTGCTGACCTCGTTGGACGACCCCGCGCTACACACGGTCAGTACATACACACACTGTAACATGACAATACACTGGACGAGTCACGGATATAGATACTATTATTATATTATACGTCGAGGTCACCAATTATTGCTGGGCTTAGAATGTTGAGGACAAAGAAGACACTAACTAGTTCACGATTTATGACCGAGAGAGTACAATAAGACACACTGATTGACATATGCAATGATTTGACCTTTATACATGATTTATATCAAAAAATATGAGATAAGATGTGACACATTTTAGGCAAAGAATATGTAACTTACTGTTTACTTATATACCTATGTGCGTATACGGCTCACTATCATATGATATAACTCACTAATTTTTTTAATCTCCTGTAATTCATCTGCTTCTTTCTTTTTCTTCATGTCCACATACTATATCTCCATATTTTTTGTCTCCACATCCAAAATCAATTAATCATATGATAATAAGAAATGTGTGTTAAGTGACGTCATCACAATAAGTATATCAAATCTAATTAGTAATGAATCTGTATCAGATAAAAAATGTGCTCCAAGGCATGTTCTGTCTGCTAAAACTTGGATCTAGTGAATGATTAACCAATCAAAACTAGTATTTGCTACCAGCTTCGTCTCTCGGAGTCCACGTTTATTATATTTGATCATGACTATCCCTTAACCCTTTTTTCCTCCTGTTATTCCAGTCGGACCTCCTCGACTACTCCCGCGGCCTGCTGACCGTGTGTGAGCGCGTCCAGGAGCGTCTCTCGTCCGCATATACCAAGGGACGGTCCATCGCCGGGCCCGCTATATACAGCTACTTCGTGCCCGCCGCTGAGGTGAGTGGGTTACTTATAGTGGAATTGTTTTATATAACTTTTGATAGTGGCTTCGTCCGTAGTAGTTTAAAATTTATATTAAAGTGTTTAGGTACATGGAAGAGGTAAAATACTAGGACGTATATGGTTCTTACGAAATTTTGGCCATCAAATACAGCGAAGAATATTAAGTTTACTATTAATACGTGAAATATTTGGATCAAAGTATTTTATTAAGATAAATTCCCTCTGCCTTCAGGAGAACAGGTGTAGAGTACAGCTGGCTTAACAATACTCCCTTATAACACACTTATTATACATTTGTAGGCCATTGAATAGTTATAGATATGCCATTCACAAAATGTATCACTATATCTTAGCAAAGACTTAAGTATCAACACAAGAAAACGACATAAAGTATACAAACAAAAGATTTGTTGAAATATTAAAACATACATTCGTTTAAATACACATTCCTTGAAACCTATCATCAAGTAGAACATCAGTAGAGCTCTAACGAGTTAGTCACATCTAAGTCAGTGTATAGTGCGTTTGATTTAAGCTGAGCTTTGTGTGTGTGTACACGGATAGTGTAGGTGTGATGTCAAATTATTAAATGCCACGTTCTTTTCTGGTTTTAAACCGGTTTATTCTGCTTTTACTCCGCCCCGCACCTTCCTCACTTCACCTTTTGTACTGGTAGGCAATGTCAAGTGAATAAGAATTTGTAGTTTTTATCAAAATTCTTATTAATCAATAAATTTTTTTCCTCAATATTCAAAATATTTCCATCTGGCCTTTTACAAGTTTTGCTTATTTTATAGCACTTATGTTATGTATCTATTTAAAATATAATAATATTTAATTCTAAAAGTATGTCTAACTCTACTTTTACTTTCACTCACACAAATCCAAAGCTCAGCTTAAGTCTAACGGACTATATGTTATCTTCCTTGTTATTTCTCATTCGCCCAGTCTTACCTGAGCTCCGTGTCGTCGCTCGTGTGTCGTCACGCCCGCTCGGTGGAGTCCTCGTTCCTCTCCTCCCTCTCCTCGTCCCTCAGCCCGCTGGCGCCCGCCGCCCTCGTGTTGGAGCGCGCCGCCTGCCTACTACCGACTGTACCGCCTCCCATTAATGACGGTATGTATCTATACAATATATATAACACACTGTCTCACGTACCCCACTAGAGAGGCGGCATGCGCTCGGCAGTGACTAGTTATACTTACATAGAGGACCAGGGATACTACAATTACGATAATACTTGATGATGTCTTAGTCTAATCGACTTGTTCATAATAATATAACTTTATTTTTTTAGTTATTACATTTAATATGAAGTGTCATTGTGGAAGATATCACCATTGTTTTACAAAGTTAACTAAACAGATGTAACCTTTATCAAACACCTGTACACTCTTCTATATTTCATCCACAGAGCATGTTCCCCCCAACATTCTGTTCGACCTCGCTCGCCTGTTGTCCTCGGGCTCCGCCCCCTCCACCCCCTCCCCGCTGCCCGCGACCCTCCAGCGGACCCGCGACTCTCTGAACACACTCTCCAAGAACATACTGAGGAGCCCCATAGACATGCAGCTGGGTGAGAAACAATCACTTGACATGTTGCAGAACTTAACAATGTGTAGCATTAATATATATATGTATATGTTGTTGTATGATACAGACAAGATCCCGCAGCTATCCTCGTGGTGTAACAACGACGCTCTGTCCACGGAGCTGCCGGACTTCGCCCTCTCGCCGCAAGAATACATCACAGAGGTCGGCACATATTGAAATAATAACTTTGACAAATGTTTCCTAGACATAACTAAAAGAAAACAATATCTTTATAGACAGAGATGTTTTATTCAATAAAAGAAACAGAATATGTATCAACATAATATCAAATAATTAACAATTAAAAGTATTAATATATTTGAAAAGTTTCTTACATGTTATATTGTAGGTCGGTCAGTACCTCATGACTCTCCCACAACACCTGGAGCTGCACCTGGGAGACGCGCGGGCTCCATGGACCATACTGGCTGAGGTACACGCACGCACACACGCACACACACACACACACGCATACACACACACACACACACACACACACACACACACATACATATAATCCTTCCAATTATTATGACGAGTGATTATAATGAATGATAACCATTGTGATGTATCAACATGAGCATCAACTCGTGTTCGTAAACTATACATACTGGCTTCACACATTCTGTATGTTAAACAACGGTTAAAACTCGAAACCTCAAATAGTTCCGATGTATTTATATATTTCAATCCTTTGAGATTGTCTTGTTTCATGAAATAACTTTACCGGCACAATACTCGGGTTTAAGTATCCTTCACTGTACGAACACTGATCACTTCTTGCAATGATTGGATGTAAATGTCGAATGGCTCGTGGGACCACCTTTTTATTACTGTCTAGTGGTGCCAACGTAATGGCAGCTGGTCGGAAATATTTTCAAAACTACTGACTGCAATACTTCATGTATGAAGTCTCTCATTAGTAATATTTCTAAAGTTTACCCACATTAAATATCTAATATATAATATTTCCACGTCACAATCTTAGTTACCGTACTCCTCCGAAACAGCTTTACACATTTTTACCAAATTTATTTGTATTCAGTAGGTCTGAGAATCGCCTACTATCTATTATTATTCATACTCCTAAGTGATAAGGGTTGTTCACCCTTATTTTTTTTTGTTTTTTATAACGTGTTTTCAAAAATTACATAAAATCCTACATTTTTACTTTTTTAATACCAACCTCTATTTTTTTTATATGGCAAAACAGTGTTTATTGGGTCAGCTAGCAATTCATAAAATAATGACTATATTAGAAGTAATGCTGAAAATTAAACTGTTTCTTGAACAATATACAATATGTTTAATCTTATTATTTCAGTTGTGTACACACACATGTGAGGTGTACGCTCAGAAGATACTCACCATCAGGAATATGGACGAGCTTGGCACGAAGAGGTGTCTCACTGATATAGGTTGGTTGATTATAGAGTAACATATATGTAGTATGTACTCCGGCGTCGGGACGTGACGACCCCATCGCCCACTGGTGTATTCCGGTGCAATCAGTCACGGGGGGGAGGGCTGGGGGTACAGCCCTGGGAGTAAGACGGTCACGGATCTGGCAGGAGGCCGTCCGTGGCTGTCTTGGGGGGGAGGGGATACTCGGGTCTCTCCGGAGGCCTGAGTTCGCTTGTGGTCGGTCGGTTTCCTCTCTGTCTGCCGTCGGGCGCTTGCGCTCGTCGGTGGGTGGTTGGAGACTGGCCGCGTGGGCTTGGGTGGGAGGGGTAAGGGGTTAACCCTCTCTCGATTAAGCAAGCCCGCCAGGCGGGGGGACACTCCTGGTCACTTGGAGTGAGCTCTCGGGGGGGAGGTGGCCGTTCGCGGCCCGCCGCCGGATCGTCGCGGATGCATGCTTCGGCGTTTCCCGTGGCGATCCACTTGGCGGCAACGGAGAGTGACCGCTGGTGTTTTAGTGGGTAACATGGGCCCTTCTGGCCGTGAATCCCACATAACCGCCTCTGTCTCCCCTAGACGGAGGGGTAGGTATAAAACCTTTCACCGCGATAACAAAAAAAAAAAAAAAAAAAAACATATAGTATGTACACTGTAGTATTCAATACAACTATGTATATTAAAATCATGTATGTATAGTGGTATCAAACTGAAGGACAGCAACCAATATAATAAAGTAATGCACCTACATTATACTTGACATACTATTATTATAACAATACCGAGCAAGTATATCTAATACATAACATATATATTTCTTCACAGTGTATCTATCAAGTGTTGTTGAAGACCTCGGCAGCAGCATCACACCGGCTCTCAAGAACCTGGAGAATTCTCTCCGAGCAGCGTCACACACACAGTCATAGATAGTTCAATAAATGTTATAATGAATTACTCGTGTGTTTTATTTAATCATCTTTAATATACAAAATAAATGTTAAAACTTACAGTTATGTACAATAACAAATAGTTTTATTTTTTAACAGTAACAATATTTATACATTTTAACTGAATATTTGTTATAATCATATTTGTCTATGGATTCTAATCCCACATCTCGTTATTATGATCCGACTCCAACAAGTAGTCTCTCTGTCGTAGAAACTTCGGAGCTGTAATATTTGCTACAACTTTTGGCGGTTTATCGTCAGGAAAGATTTCTTTCCTCGACGGACAGGCCAGCACATGATTCTTCATCTCTGTCTTCGGCAGACGATGAGTCGCGTTGTAAGGACACGGACTCAGCTCCGGGTGCTTGGTTTGACACTTGACGATGTGAGCTTGGATACGAGACTGAGGGACGCGGTGTGCTGGCTCGTACGGACAGGATATAAATGGATCCATCTGAATAATATGATTTACATAAATATGAGATAGTAAAATAATCGTTTAAAATTAAAATACTTCTATTTACTCAACTGTTCCCGAAGATAATGATAACTACTGACCCGTGATTACGGACTTGAGAAGTTGTATTTTGTAACAATATTTATTTACAAACACCAACTGAAACTTTGACAAATGACATGAGAAACACACAGAGTATTTGAAAGAAGGAAAATACTATTAATCTATTTGTATAAATTATTTATATGAACTAAACTAATGTTACAAAAACATAATTTTCAAAACTATGTAAATATAATTTTGTTTAAAAAAACAATAGTAACTTATTTTAGAACTATACTAGGTACAATGAGAGATTGTTTGTATTTTAATTAATTTCATTTAGAAAAGTATACTAAAGAAAATCGACTTAACTTTTAAATCTTATGCCTTGTATTTGTATTTTTAACGTTTAGGCAAGGCCATCGATAAAGTCGGGTAGACTCATAGTGCATGAACCCTTAGACTTTTGTTAAAGTTGTTGTAATATAATTATAATAAAGTACATAAATTTCTTACAAAATGTTCGGTGAATCGGGATAAAAGACAATTCTTCAATATCCAGGTCTTCAAATAGGTTTAGCAGAGCTTCGTCTTCCTCGCTCTTAAAACCCCGGCTCTGTAGCTACTAGTACTATAAACGACAATTCTGACGTTGTCATAACATTTTCTAAAGTCAGTTCACAGCTGTTTTATTTAAAATTTTATTTTAAGTTTGTTTTTGTTGATTATGTTATGTTAATTTATACATTTTACCTTAATAATAAGCTTTACTAGTTTTCATACTTCCCAATTAAAATTATAACGATTAAGTACTTCTATTAGAAGTTATGAGTCTTTCAAACAAACGTATGAATCGGGATAAAGGTAAATATTTGTAAAATTTCTTCTAGTCTAAAAAATAAAGATTAGTAACATTTAAAATAATATCATTTTTGTTATTGACCTGCCTCAGCTAACTGCGGTTTTCTTTTAGAGCTATTTACTAAATAATTGTATATTTTTAGTTGATCAAAATAATAAAAGAATAAAGTTAGCCTGTAGTTATGGAGAGTCGTGTTATAGAATGAATCCGGCACACTTCAGAGAGTTCAGTCATCCGCATTGTGAGTACATAAAATATCACTGATTAACATCTACTGAAAATTCATGACTCAATATACTAAGCATGTCGTAATTTTATATTCATATTATTAAGGACGCAATACGTTGTCTGTAACTTGTACAGATATATATCAAAGTAAAGTTTGTGAGCTAAATATTCTGCTAAATTCAATAACATTACATTCAATATAATTTGTTTCTGAGATAGTTTTATAATATTCTCTATTACCTCACCAGTGGAGAGTATTCTGGACAACTACAGTGGCTCTGGTGGCTATGATATACCTGAGAGGTTCAGCTTACAACAAAACATGATCAGGGAACAGCTTGACATGATGATAGAAAACAAGCTGTATGAAGGACAACAAGGAGATCGGTGAGTTCATTCATTACTGTTATGTATTAGTTATACTTGTTATCTACTATTATTACTGTTATCTACTAGTTATACTCGGTATTGTTATAATAATAGTATGTCAAGTGTAATGTAGGTAGATTACTTTATTATATTAGTTGCTGTCACTCTGTTTAGTACTTACACAATACATGCATGACAAACTCAATATAGTTTTCTGGAATACTGCAATTACAAATATTATAATGTAACCATATCGTGTATTGAAATAATTGAGTAGAACTCAGGTTGTGTGTGAAAGACATACCAGCAGAACATAGCATAAATTAGCACATTTCAATCAATCATGGTGAATTAATTATTATTTATAACAAATGTTTTCTTTATATTTTTATTTTTGAAGGTGTTTATAAATATCAATGTACATAGTATGTAAAGTCTCCTATGATTATTGTAACTTTTCTATCACTAAGCCATAGGAAAGAATGTTCTACAAAAAGTAATATGGACACAAAATTGTTTGCAGAATGAGCAAAGATAATGAAGATAGTAAAAAAGATAGAAGTGATACAAAAACAGACACGGCCGGAACGAGTCGGAGTAGTGATGAAAAGAAAAACACAACGAACAAACAAACAACTGATGAACAGATGTTAAGTAGAACACACAGACAGACAGACACACGAGGAAACAACATGTGTGGAGACAAAAAATTACTCGGTTAGTAGATAAGTAGATAATGTAAGTTGTTCATACTCATATAAACGAGATCATGATTACTTCTATGAAGACATGTGTTAGGATTTCAAACTTCAAGACCATTTGTCAAACCCATAGTATTACTTTAATTATCACACAACTGACTTTAAAAGATAATAATTAAAATAGTGCGACCTCTTTTTCAATCACTTGATTATATCCGATTCACAGAAAATAGTAATTACATCCCACAATTCTCTTTAAATCATCTCTACTCCTCTCTTCCCTCCACATCTCTTGTCAACCCAGTTCCTCCATCAATAAATAATATGTATGAATATATTGTGTTAGAAATGAAAAACACGTTATGATTTTTAAAAACAAACGGTGGTCGGCCAAGGGTCAATTAATAATATTCGAGACTAATTAGAGCAGAGGTTCTTCTCTTGACAATAGTTGAGAACAAAAAGTGTCCGATTATCAGTCATGGTGCTCGTTATATAGGTGGCTTGAGGGTTGCCAGTTTAATAATTATTTAACAATTGTATGTATATATATACACCAGACTCCACATATCGTCCGATGGTACCACCCACCAGAGACCCTCGCTCGTTCCTGGACGTGGTGGTGACTCCCGGTGGTATGTTGTCTAAGCACGCGGCCGCCGCGCCCTACTACGTGTTCTACACAACCATCAAGGACAGTAAGAACACTCACGAACAGAAGTACTCCATCACACTACTGGGTGAGGATATATGTACATACGTGTTAGTTAGTATTGTGAAGTGTAAGGTTACTCAAGTGGAAATATTTGTGACAGAGTTCAATAGTCTATATAGTCCCTGAATAACAAATATTACGATAGGTAGAGAGAGGAGCTTGTACGGTGGAGGTGAGCGTTTAACGTTAGATAGGGTCCCTCAAACCTACACCTGGGTCACAAGTCCCAGTCACTGTTGAAGCTCCTCTCACTACAACGATGGACCCGACACACGCACCGTGAATACATGGAGTGATGAGAGGATTCGTCTCTAGTTTATAACTCATACACATGCCAGTGCTTGTGGCAGCTTTGTCCCATATGTGATTGAGATCACTATTGTCTGTTGATCTTTTATGAATATTGTGGGTTCGATTCCCGTTAGTTATCTGGACAAGTACCATTCAATACCTAATAAATGCCTATAAAATCTTCCTTTTCTTATCTCACTAGCGTCGTTCTGTTCTCATATCTCTTCTATCTCTCTTCAGAGATCCTCGACAGTAGTCTTGGTGAGCTCAAGTGTTCGCTCCAGATCAACTTCATGGTGGACGCGGGCTGGCTGCTCGCGCACTATTACTTCGCGGGTTACAGGTACGACACGGAACAAACAAACACACATATACACATATATATGTAATTTCTTCTACACTAAACCTCAAGAGGTTCATAGTCCTGGTTTTCTGTCTCAACATCTCAAATCAAAAGCAAATCTTTTGACTATTATTTTTGTTATTCAATATTAAATAATGTATACATGTATCTGTAGACTCTATCAGTAGTTTATTATGTGATTGTATTTCGGAATTACTTACATTATTTCTTTATAAATCTCCATGTACTATATTATATTATAGATTTTATTTATAATAACTGATACAAATATTTCAGTGCAAAAAAGCTAACGATCTTATACGGAGAGGAGAGCGATGACCTCAAGAACGTCAGCCGCAAGAAACAGAACGTGGAGACGCACCACGTGAAGATGAGCACACCCTTTGGGAAACACCACACGTGCGTATGATGATGATGGGGCCCCATATGACGGATTGGCGAGTAGACTGAGTTCTGCGGCATTCGCGGTCAAAAAAATTAGACTATGTACCGATGTTGATACGGCTCGCTTAGTATATTTCAGTTACTTTCACAGTATAATGTCATACGGTATTATGCTGTGGGGCAACGCAGACGCTATCCATACTATATTTGTGTTACAGGAGAGGGCTATTCGCGCAATCTATAACCTAGGAGCTAAAGAATCGTTAAGGAATAAATTTAAAGTAATCAAGATATTGACTGTTGCTTCTCAATATATATTCTGCAATGTTATGTATGTACGAAAAAATTTTAATGATTTCATGAGAAAATGTGATACTCATAGCATTGGTACAAGGAACAAACATAAACTTGTTACTCCTGTTACTCGACTACATAGAGTCAGTAACTCCTTTGTGGGGCAATGTATACGGTTTTACAACAGGATCCCAGAAAGCGTTCGAAATGCCTCTGTTGCTAAATTTAAAAAAATTATTAAGGAACGCTTGTGTGCAAAAGGTTACTATACAATTAATGAGTTTATGAACGATAGCACACCTTGGGAATGATACGATCGCCTCCTGGCTATTTCATCTCATATTAAATTGTTTATATAATATATGAGACAAATATTAAAAATAAACTCGCTGAGTTTCTTTCGCCGGTTCTTCTCAGGTCAGGGTATTTTCTTTTCCGAACCGGTGGTAGTGTCTCAAGTGACCATCAATAAGAAAGTGTAATGCTTCTATATTGAATGAAGTTATTTGTGTTTGAGTTTGATGATGATGAAGGTAATGTTGTTACAGGAAGATGATGCTGTTGTGTTACGAGGACGGGTCGCTGAGGGTGGTGGTGTCCACCGCCAACCTGTACCTGGACGACTGGCAGAACAGGACGCAGGGGTGAGCAGATATTAGGAGGAGGCAGAACTGACTCTGATATATTATTAGCCTTCAACCCTCATCGTTTACAGAATATAAACAACGAAATCAATTATTATAAAACCAATAGTTATTTATTGATGAGAGATTAAATCATTACAATAAGAATTTCAATAGCAAAACTGCGATGAATTAAAAGACCCAATAAGAGTTTCAATATCGAAAAACATAAAATATGTATTCTATAGTATAATTTAAACCTCATTCCATACTGAGCATCAAACTAACGAACACCAACTAAACTATAACATACTAGAAGACCCGGCGAACTTCCTATCGCCCTATAATCAAGAAATATCTGTTACGATTCTTTATTTATATTTTTGGAGTTCACCTATTGAAGCCATAAATGTCCGTGTTTTGAAGTGCGACAGAATGATTGACATATTAGTTAGTTGTCAAATCTAATGTCAAAAGAAAATGTTTGTATCGCCAACTACTAATAAATTAAAAATTAATTAAAAAAACATTGTCCAGCGGACAGAATTGTGAATCTAAACCATTCCCAGATCCCCTTGAACTCAAAAAAATATCGTCAAAATCGGTCCGGTTGTTTGAGAGAAGTTCAGTGACATACACAGTCACAGAAGAATTATATATATAGATATATACTCTTTCAGTCTCTGGCTGAGTCCCCGCTGCCCGCCTCTCCCCGCTGAGTCTCCCAGTCTGTCCGGTGAGAGTCCCACGGGCTTCAAGCGGAGTCTACTCGACTACTTACAACACTACCGCCTGCCGCAACTGGCGTACTACGTGCACCGAGTACAGAGATGTGACTTTACTAACATCAAGTAAGACATATCTGTATATACGAGTTATTAGCATTTATTTTGTTTTTTTTTTACGTTAAGAAGACACAAAACGATATAAATCAATAATTAATTTCTTAACTTCAAAACAAACATTCAATGACTTCCTGGTGCGTAACAACGCCATCTGTTGTTGTGTCGTTAAAGCAATTAGTAAAAAGTATTATTACTGTTCGCCAATAGATGTCAGGGAGAGCCATATTTTAAACGACTGCTTTTTGTTATATTTTTTCCTAAAATGTCGTTTTCTATAAATGATTCCTAGCTAGTCCGGTTTATCACCCTTGAAACACCCCCTATATAATAAATTTCATGAAAATCGTTGTATATAAATATACATACAAGAATTATTCATTTAAATATATAAGTTAAATGGAGGAATACACTACAAGTTAAAAACTATATTCAAATTTGTTTAAGTAGAGAGAGGAGCTTGTACGGTGTAGGTGAGCGTTTAACGTTAGATAGAGACCCTTAAACCTACACCTGGGTCACAAGTCACAGTCACTGTTGAAGCTCCTCTCACTACAACGATGGACCCGACACACGCACCGTGAATACATTGAATGATGAGAGGTTCCGTCTCTGTCACACATGTGTTCTTATACATATTGTCGTCTCTCTCTCTCTGTCAGTGTGTTCCTCGTGTGTTCGGTGCCCGGTACTCACTACTCCCCGTCGTTCGGGTTCCCTCGTGTGGGCGCCTTACTCCGCGCTCACTGCGAGCTCCCTCCACACGAGGCCCGCTCGTGGCCGCTCATCGCTCAGGCCAGTAGCCTCGGCAGCTATGGGAAAGAACCCGCGGTAAGAATAACATTTGTTGTATGAAGATGAGTCTTTGAATATAATGAGATCTAAGATTTTCGCGAGTACTCATTTCGGTTACTTTTCAGCAACCGTGATCATTAAGACGAGATGTAACCGAAAAGTAACCGATACGTCGGGAGTATGTAGTTTCTAATCAAAAATAAAACGCGAAGTAAAATCCGAAAATATTAGTTTTACTCTTTGAATATGTTGTTGAGCGTGTGTGTTGTATCAGTCGTGGCTGACGGGAGACTTCCTGCATCACTTCACCAAGATCAAGGACCAGCCACAGACACTGACCCCGCCGCCCGAACTCAAGCTCATCTACCCATCATTAGGTGAGTCTCGCGCGTGTTCTTCTCAGTTCTTCTCTCGTATATTCTAACGTATTTCTTCTCCAGAGAACGTGAAGTCTTCTCACGACGGTCTGCTGGGCGGCGGCTGCCTGCCCTACTCCGCGACCGTCCACACCAAGCAGCCCTGGCTGAACAACTTCTTATAGTGAGTGTTTGATGAACTCTCCTTTAGTATCATGTATATCATAGTCAGTATGTACCAAGTATCAGTGTTAGTGGTGTCCTAGTGGTTAAGGGGCCCTCCTCTCGTTGCCGAGGGCGCGGGTTCAAACCTGGCAAGTACCAATGTGATTTTTCGGAGTCATATGTACTTTCTGAGAGTATTTAGACACCACTGGCATATGGTGAAGGAAAACATCGTGAGGAAACCTGGACTTATAGTTTCACAATTATAAGTTTGAAATCACCAACCCGTGTTGAGCGAGCGTGGTGATTAATGCTCAAATCTTCTCCATGTGAGAAAGAGGCTTTGATAGGCTGATGATGATGTATCAAGTATATAATTTCCCCAGTCAGTGGCGCGCGCGTCACTCGGCCCGTGACCGCGCGATGCCTCACATCAAGAGCTACCTGCGCGTGTCTCCAGACTGTTCGCGCGCCTCCTACTACCTACTAACTTCCGGTAACGTGAGTAAGGCGGCCTGGGGCAGCAGGAACAAGGACGGCGGAGTGAGGATCATGAGCTATGAGGCGGGGGTACTACTGTTACCGCGGTTTATGGTGAGAAACTAAAGAAGGATCACTTATATAACTAATGAAACACGTTGTGAACTCACTCAAACACTTACTTTCTTGATACATGGACAATAGACAAACTACAGGGGTCGAACGACCGATAATAATAGATATAATTTTGATAATTGTTTTAACAAAAACTCCTCAAGCTTAGATCGTTTGCATATAGTGTTAATGAAATAAGCGATATTAAGAGAATACTTGGACTAAAATTCTAATAAAATAATCGTAATTTGTGATATAATTTTCTGAAAGGACTTGTCATTCTGAACGTCGCGGGTTCGATTCCCGCTCGTGTTGAGAATGTCTACTCTAGTTCATATATATATGTATATGTTCCAGATCAACTCCCCCTCGTTCCCCCTCTCCCCCTCCTCGCCCCAGCAGCTGCTCGTCCCCTACGACCTGCCCCCACACAAGTACACGCCGGACATGTCGCCCTGGGTGTCCGAATACTTGTACTGAATAAATATATTATATTATTATTGTTATTATTTGTTTTATTACTTGACCAATACACAAAGTCAGTTTTATTATGACAAAAGAAGCAAACGACCTAACTAGTCGAAAGACATCTTTAATATAAAGGATGTTGTGACCTTGGTGGTCAAAGGGTGGGAAAAGGACAGAGCAACCGTCTCTCTCACTCATCATACTAAGCGCAGTCATTAAAGACTACTTCACGCCGATCTTCTGTGAGAGGGTGGTACTTACGGTCGAGACAGAACATGTTCGAGCTGTAGTAATTTGACCACTAGGCTCTACCACTTTAAGAATGTAATTAAAGTTTGTGCAAAATGATTTTAATATTTTGTACGAACATCTATTAGGAACCAATATATAATAAAAATAAAACTCTTTAAGAATTATTGTTTTCGTAAAGACACAAAGAGAGCGTCAGTAATACTGTTTATCAATTTAATTATTACATATATATAGACGTTTGTATTGTTTTTACACAGTAGGAACTTATTTCCTGAGGAAAGCCGGGTGACTGAACGTGTGTTAATATTCTGAAGAACTCAATCTACTAAAAAGATGTACCATTTATGATAATATCTTGTCACAAGAAATTAAATAAACTTTAAACTGTCTTCGAGCTTATCTGAAAATTCTAACTCGTGGCGAGTGTAGGTACACAGCGACGTGATACATAGAGACTAGCTGTTATACAAAACAAATCTTAAAGTTTATAGAACTCGTTTAACTTCTTTAAACGTTTGACTATTACAATCCTCAATATACATGTCTATATGGGAACAATTATGATTATAAGAAACAGGAGTAATATGTGTAAATCACAAATAGTCCATTGAGTGTCTTTTTAATTATTTTGCTGTCTCTCCACCCTTACGAAAAATATATACAACTACACGCTTACAACACAATTAGACTTGGTGGGTGATGAGTGTGGTGACAGATGATGATGAAGACTCACATCATATAATGTTTAAACCGATATTATTTTATAAGTTATTTCAAACAAGGGTTTACTCATTATTTATGTATATGATCGGGGTCTTGAATGTTTGAAGAAATAGATATTAAACACCTTCAGGCGTTGATCTCAAATATTTATTGATGATTTAACAGTCCTATCTTATAACTAATTTAAAATCGTCTTTTTTCCTTTTGAGATATAAATAATAAGAAAGGTTTTAAAAAAGTACCGACACATGTAGTTACGTCACAAATTATTTACAACTTTTTAAAGGACATTTTAACATTTTTACTGTAATAAAACTATAGTTGTCTGTGAAAACTGTTAATAAATACTATACACAATATATTACTTATACTTGTACCAAAAAATACACACAAGATGACCTTGAGCTGGTTCACAGGATATCAAATAGTTTTGAATCTCCAGTTACATCTCGGCAACAAACATAATACATACATATACATATTGTAACATTATATACATTTAAATCTATTAGCGATTCAGTTTAAGGCCGAGAAATGTAGAGTAGATTGTTACGTACGCGTTACATATTAAATAAATGAACATCACCGGGCGACATCGTTGTATGTATAATATAGTATATATGTATAACGAGAACGGACGAACTCCGCGGAACGACCACCAAGCCGTGTGAACCAGAAGATTCCTGATACACACAAGCTATGGAATGGTATTTATATCATAACATCGGGTCGATCATGTAGTCTTAGGTGTAGGTTATAAGTTTTAATATGTAATTCTTATTATAATATACATATAAGTAAGTTTCGTAGTTTTGCTGAAACCTCTAGTTGCTACCCTATATTTTATTCATAACCACTTTCTGATCAAACAAATGCGATGACTAATGATTATTAAAGTCTGTTGCGAATATTTTTTTCGTCAATTAGTAATATTTTTTCTAGAACGAACTATAATTATTGTGTGTGCCTGGTGACGGGTGTAAGGGTCGACCGGTCCAGTCTCGGTCTACTTGACTGTGATCGTTTATATATACAAGTAGCTGACGAACACTCCGCAGTACGAGCGACCAGCTGACACACGATGAAGGTAAGATATAATATACATTATATATAAAAAATGTGCAAGGAAACCACGAGATCGTCATTCAGAGACTTTGTAAATCAGGATCACCCGCCGGGGTGAGAAGTGAACAAAGATACAGGAAGTACAGTTACTGAAAAACTTTTAAATGATTCTTGTGATGAGAGATATCTTGAAGATTGAATAATTATTATCAATTATCGAGTTTTATGAAAAAGTTTTTGTTCGTCACTCCGTCTGCGTTAGTTTCAGAATTACTAATGTAAAGACCGGGTGGACTCTGTTCCTTCTTAAAGACAGTAGATGAGAAGATTTTGGATTTGATCAACTTATTTTGTTATTCTTTTTGGATCGTATGTAAAGTATCCTTTGTCCTTTCTATGTTCTCATCTATCTCTGCCAATTTTCATCCAAACCCGTACAGTCGTTCTTGAGTTATAAATAGTGTAACTAACACGACTTTCTTTTATATAAAACATAAGATTAAAAAGAATCTGCCGAGCTGTTTCTGTCACGATTCTTGTATTAATCGGTTAATGTTTTCAGTTATTATACATATGTTGTGCCGTGGTGGCGGCCGCCAGGGCTGAGGACAGCTTCTACGCGCCGCAGACATTCAAACAAGTGAGTTATACAAAGAAAGATTATCATGAAGAAATCTAAGACTTTGAAGATTTTTATTCGTTTAAATAAAACATTGTTTTTCGGATTTAGTTCGCGCTCTTTATTTTTGTAAAAAACTACATACTCCCGAGGTTTCGGTTACAGCAACCGTGATCATTAAGACGAGATGAGAATATAACCGAAACGTCGGGAATATTTAGTTTTATATCTGAAAAATAATGGTTTCATTTATAATTAAGAAAGTTGTTAGCTGAAACAAACTAATATAAAACATAAGTGGTGAATACTCCAAGTGTTTCGTTGGTGGAGTGAAGCGTGACTACACGACACTCTTACAACACCGGCTACCATATGAACTGGATTACATCACGAGCTGATCGACCTACATACACACATACATACACACACACACACACACACACACACACACACACACACACACACACACACACACACACAAACACATACATACATACACACACACACACAGACACACATGGAACCAAAATTGTAATTTATTATTTTATATCTACATAATCCTTACCTTCCGTTTTCTTTACAGCTACCGTGATCACGGACATACATACATACATTGCCACACGATTTTTCCTGTACAGTCGGTTAAAATACGTAGATTATTATAAGCGACCATTATTATAACTACGCCGTACTGTACGTATACGTACGTGTACGTGTACGTACGTCCTCTTTAAATATTTTTCCTGAATTTAATAAGTGTAAAGTTAATTAAATATGCAAAGATATATAACAAGAGAAAGTGAAATCACTTTAAATGTTAAAATTTATATTCAATATAATATAAATACTATAATTATAACAAAATATCAAATTAATAATAATCTAATAACTAACGTAGATTTGGTTCTCACATGTTACAGAAAAATGCTTTTACTTTTAGTGATACGATGTATCATGTAATAGTTGAAAGTAACAAAATATAATTTGAAAACAGAAAAATGTATGTATTGAATATATAATATAATATTTTATGTAGATCTACTTACAATATACATATATAGGTATATAATACTAACTATTATTTGTTGTACTATCAAGAATAAAACAACAAACATCTCTTAAAGTTACTTTAAAAATCAGTTTCTCATAAACAAATAAAGACTTCCATTATGTTCACAGCCTGTATGTATATGTTTGTAATGTGTGTGTGTGTCTGTTTGTTACAGCAGGTATCTCAACACATGTTCTCTCCGATAGACATGCCGTGGGCCTCCACACAGAGGAACGACATCGTAAGAAATATTGAGTGTTAAACATTCAGGAGTCGTAGTGTTTGTATACTATAAGTATATACTTATAATGACACTTGCTTTGGTACTTTAGAACAATTAGAATTTTGTAGCTCATAGTTTAACAAATAGTCTTAATTCTTGAAAACTCGGGTATATTGTGTCATTATTTTTGACGTTGATTCTAGAAATGTTATTTAGGGTTACAATTCCAAAGTTTAAATTAATAAAAATTACAAAAATAAGGATAACCGAAAAATGGTTACAGTTTGACCGAATTTATCTATTTTTCTCAAATGCTCATAATTTTTCAAACTGCATGCTACAGATTTTTTTTTTCTGTTTTTTCTCATGATGATTATTGATAACAATTAATCCTGTCACCCCGTTTCGGTTTGACGTTGAGTTCTAGGACACCCTGTGTATATATTATATAACACACTGTCTCTCGTACTTCACTAGAGGGTGGGAACTGCCAGTCACTCGTTAGTAGTGAGCCAGTGACTTACTTAAAAGACACTTACATAAAAGACAAGAGGGTCCTACAGGACTGAAATTTAATAAAGTCTGCTAAAACAAAAAGTTGAGGCGATCTTTAATGATAGTAAAGGTCAGGAGTCGAACCTAGGACTTGTGTGCTGGGTTATGGACGCTTTAATGAACATAATATGTAAGGTTTACCTTGAAGAGTGGCTGGCTCCTGTCTTCGACTACAATTGTACACGCGGTGTCTGTAGTGAGGTTAACAACACAGTTGTATAATATTTAGTGATTTGTACCACAGTTGTATAAACTTTTTCAAAGTTGTTTTATAATAATTTGAGAGGTAAGTTAGTTAGTGTTAAGGGTTGAGAGTCTCCAGGCGACTGGCGGGACGGAGCTGAAGTCTCGTAGAATAAAAATGTTGAGGATATTTGTAAGTGTGTAGTGATAGATCAATATAGGTTTTAGAAATCAAATAACACAAATTGTACTTGTATTGAACACTTTAAAAAAACCTTAATTAAAATATAGTAACTATAACAATGATATTTTATTTAATATTAAAACTTAATACTCATCTAAAACTATTTTTCATTTTTATGATGGTCTTTCTGTTCTATTAATGTTGGAGGTTTCTCTGCCTCGTTCATCAGGTAGGTTACCACAACAAGGGTCCGTTCACACCGGCCGAGGACGTCCTGCCGCAGGGCTCCTCTCAGGGCTCGCAGTGGAAGACGCAGCCCTACGACGACTACGGGAGAGGTAATAAGACATCAGGACACATATACTACATTAATATAAGTTGAGATTATAATGGTACAAGTTTTAAAGATAACTCTAGGGACAGTGGTAGCAGAGTTAATAAAAAATTAAAAAGAAGTATTCTTAAAAAATTTAAAACACATCTCTAGTAAATTAGTCTATAAAAAAAACAAATATAAACAGAATAAAGTTCGCTTCTATTGAAAATGTCTTCCAAAAGGGGATGCATTTTCGAGAAAACTTCGCAAATACACTAGTATTGTTCATTAAAATTAGAGGTTGTATTATAATTGATTATTTTATGTCAAGAACAAGCTGGCCAAGAGGACTGGCGCGTGCCTTACGGCAACAACAAGGAGAGGCAGGCCACCATCCTGCATCACAAACAATCACTCAGCTCCGGTATGTAGAGACGTCTTCATCACAAGTTCTAAATAGACTAATAGACTAAATCTATTTATATATATCATTTCCACATATCTAAGAGGGAGCCTTCCGCTTCGAGTACGCGTCAGACACAGGGTTGGAGGCGGGCGAGGTGATCTCTCCTGACGGGTCCAGGGTCGGCGCCTACCAGTACAAGGACCCCGCGGGACAACTCGTTAAACTGAAGTATCGAGCTGGGAAAGAAGGGTTCCAGGTAATATAGACAAACAAACACCAATCATACAGGGTGGCAACCAGGGGTTCTAGGAAAACTAGGAAACTTATATGTATATTATAATAAGAATTACATGTAAAACTTACATCCTATATCTAATACTACATGATTGACCCGATGTTATGATAGCAATACCATTCCATAGCTTGTGTGTATCAGGAGTCTTCTGGTTCACACGCTTGGTGTTCGTTCCGCGGAGTCAGCGGCGTCAAGAGTTATATTTTTTATCCATATAACGATGTCGCCCCGGCGCTTTTCATTTATTTTGTAACATGTAGCGCGTATTTAACACACTGTAATGTAACAATATATTATGTGAAGCTAAAATAATCAATTTTATAGAATGATTATTATAAGTTTTTCAAAGACACACAAAGAATTCTCATAGTAGTTCTCTGTATGTTCATATGTTTTCTCTCATAGATCCTTGAAGGCAGTCACGTCCCTAAGAGTCCAGAGCCTGTAGCACCACCGACACAAGGTGAGCTGACACACACTCCACTAAACCAATAATAATAGTCTTTTATCACTCCATATAATGTACAATTATTGACTGAGGTTTTATAAGAGACAATTGTCCAAATTGTATCTTCTCAGTAGAATGAACAAAATATATTGTTGTGTTTCTGTTCTGTAAACAATTATCTTCTAACTGTTGTTGATCAGGGAGCTACTACCAGGAGCCGTACCAGCAACACTATCAACAGGAACAGACTCCCGACTGGAGACAGGTCACGGAATAATACACACCTTGAACATATTAACATGATATAAAGATTAATAAGCCTTCCTTACCTCCACATGCATTTGAAAGCGAAAATAATAGTTTAAATGATACTAAATTTACGGATTACTACGCGTATTTTATTATTTTGAAAAATTTCATGGACTCGATGTTTCGGTTACTTTTCAGTAACAGTGATCATGGACACATATACAATATTAGTTTCTTTCAAACACTAAAGTTATAAATGTATTATTATTATTTATCTCGAAACATAATGCGTGACGGATATATTAGAAAAATCTTGGATTATAATCCATATAATACAGCATTAGAAGTTACTACATATAAGGAATCATGTCTCTCGTCTTATTAAATCAATCTCTGTGTGGGCCCTACAGGTCCCACAGATCCCCCAGGCCCCGCAGGTCCCGCAGGCCCCGGTGCCTCCTCCTCAGTACTACAACCAGAACTGGAAGACAGACGGACGGAGCGACGGACACGTATGAATAATATATATAGAAGAAAGTCGTGTTAGTTACACTATATATAACTCAAGAACGACTGTACGGATATGGATGAAGATTGGTAGAGAAATAGATTAGAACATAGAAAAGACATAGGATGTACATATAATACTGTTCGATCGGAAAAGAAAATACTTAATAAATTGAAATATCTTGTTATTTATGGCCTCTAGGAGTCTAGGACAGAATAAAGTTCTCTCGGCCAGCTATACATATATTAGTTATATAGAAATTATAAGTCGCGGGTAAAAAACGACTACATATATTTATAATGGTCGTATCATTTCTTTGAAAGAGTCCACATTAGCGTACATTTTTTATAGATTAAGAATATTAACACAAAAACTTATAATATATATCATTGAGTGATTTTATTTTCAGTACAATGAGCTCGAGGAGCAGAGCCGGGGTCCACACTCGTTCGGTACGGGGTATGCGTTCGCCTTCAAGGGATGAACAGAAACAGAGAGACGCTTCCTCACGAGGAACGTGGAGAAATAGGAGGAGAGTAAAATAAACAAGATACAATAAACATGATTCATTTGTTTTTTATATTTTTTTTTTAAGTTTCCTAACGCCTTCTTATAGGGATTAAAATTAGTCTCCTAACTTGCTGAGAGTGGACAGTTTTCACTCATATCTTCTCATAATGTAGAATTGACGTAGATTATAGAATGAGTGCAAAGATTTGGTAAATATGCTTGTGAAAAATATTATGTTCAGTGATACTTAAATCTACAATTATATAACTTGTGTAGAAGATATTTTTAACAGATTTTTAAAAATTACCAGTCATTATTTAATTATAAACATTCAACATACGAGTGATACAAAAAATGAAACATTTTCATAGTTCATATACCCACGTTTTATTAAAACAAAACAAAAACAATTCAAAACAAACAAACAGCTCGCATCATCAACACACAGGAACAACAAACAATTATATTAACATAAATATATTAATAATAAACGAGAAGCGATCACAATTAAATCACTTACATTATAAATATAATATTTATTACTATGATACACTTTGAATACACCTTACTCTACACGAACAAGTCAAGGACCCAATCCCAGCTATTGTCTCATAACTCATCAAATATGAATGATCTATGAAACACATTCATCCCTCCACGGAACCAGCGCGTTACATCTGGTTCATCTTACACCTACAGTTGGAAGTAGCCGTGATTATATTTTCTCCTTATATTAATCATCTAATAATATTAAAAATTTATCTGTTATAATATAATAAGCGAATACGTATATAATAATAATCCGATGAGATTTATGAAAGCGGCTGAAACGATTGCGTTATAACGCATAAAATTCTACTTGAAATACTTTTTGAATATATTTATATAGAATATAAGTTAAATATTTTTATAAGAATATATGAAATATAGACCAACACACACTGGACACTATGAACTGGTGCATTAAACCGAATACGCAGCCATACGCATCTGGTTGAATGTGCCTCGAACATACTATGAATTTGTTTGAAACAGTTTCTATGAAATTCTATGAAAAATATATCAGTAATATTGAATGTATTGTTGATCATTAAAATTATATAACTATAAAAAATATAAGTTAAAAGTTGAATTAATATTATATTATTGAGGCAGATGTTTTCACGCTGTCCAATATATGTTGATCTTTCACTTACACTATTTGAATATATTCCTCTACGTGTATATTAAATATATTATTAAATCTACTGAGAGTATTACATGTATGTATATAATATTTATTATTCCAGATTGTAATGAATCCAATCATTCATATTCGATGAATCTTAAACTAAACATCACATGAGAAGCGTCTCGTTACTTCATATATAAAGAAAGCCATTCATATAAAATTATTGTCAATTAATATAAAAAATATTTTGTAAAATACCGAAAAACATACTTTATTGTCGAAAACAAACAACAGACAATGTGTTGTCGGTCACTTTGAAAGAAATATATGTAAAAAAATGAAAGCTCCGCTGACCCTCGCACTGATAGAGCGGTCACTGACAGATGGTTCATAATAAATTGGTCGTTATTACTAGCTTAATATAAATTCGCTACAAGACATCACTACAGTATATATTATATATGTTTAGTAAATATGCTCTCGACGTCACTACATACTCGTATATATATTTTTTTGTATTTTTTTTTGTTTCTTTATATATTAAGCGTTATATTCCTTATCTATAAAGAGTCGGGCGGGTCTCGGATGCTGTATCTCCTATTCTTCTTCAAACTTCTCTATTCATCTCTGTTCTTCTCTATTCTTCTTCCTCGTTCTGGTAGCTCACGTAACGGACAGATGATTTCTCGCTGATGATCAAACTCTGAAAGGAGAGGAAGCGAGATTAGTTGAGAAGAAATATTTGATGCTACGAGAAAGATACAATGACTCCTAGACTGTAAAACAGAATAAAGAAAACTCATGAAGAAAATAAGAGAAGAATAAGTTGATTGAGACAGTCTGGTCTCAAGTGAAGAAGCATAAGCCAATTCATCACTAATGTAAGTGTCAGACGGTCCCTGTTAGTGTGTCATGTCTCACCTGCTGCTCGTCTCTGGCGGGCGGAGCGCGCAGCATCAGCAGACACGGCGCGTAGCAGAAGTTCAGTAGAGCGATGATCACCAACATCCACTCGAAGCCGATACTGTTGACTAAGGCGCCGGAGAACGCGGGGCCTACAAGTGAGGAGGAACATACAGGTTAACACAAGGCTGTTCCATAGACTTGAGAAGTAAATAACATACATCAGGTAACAGGCAGATGTGACTCCATATAGAAGTACTTTTATAGTAATTCTTGAAGAAATCAAGGTTTAAATTAATTATTAACAATGGCCTCTAATCTACATGATGGTAAGTTACATTATAATCAGTTCATAGATCTTCACATTTATAATAGCGATGTCAGTGAAGGGACCACTGTTCTGTAATGTTTATATAACACATGAGTCGTTGTGTCTCACCGACGGCGTATCCGAGACAGAAGGCGGTGTCCCCGATAGCGTACACGGAGCCGTACACCGCGGCGTGACGGATGTCCACCAGGAAGCCCAGCTCCGGCATCATGGACGAGTCCACCATACCGATAGCGAAGCCCAGCCCGGCGTTGGGAATGATCAGGTGTTCCAACTTACGAGCCATTGGGATCTGGACATAATCGTGATATAAGATAGATCGCAGTGGAGGAGAGATGTGGAAAATACGACGGAACTCACCAGAATCAAACATATACCGATGATGATGAGGCCGGAGCAGGCGGCCAGCCAGCGACCCATCTTGTGACCGAGAGGACCGAACAAGTTTGTACCTACAAACAGATCAGATAGGATTGGAGATAGATCTATCAAGTCTATTCAATTCCTGGGACCCTGGGACTTTATAAAAACAATAAAATCCCAAGTCCGTAATCACACCGCAGGACCTCGAGACACTCTTGACTAATGACATAATAAATTGATAGATATTGTAGATGATAAATAACAAGACCAACTGACAGACACTCACATCTCATGTCTGTCCGTGATCACGGTTGATGAAACTGATTCGAAATGTCGGGAGTATGTAGTTTTAAGTATACTAAATACGCATAGTAATCCGGTTTACGAAAATTTTAGCTTCATTTCAATCAATGAAGACCAACACTGGGCGTCTGTGTCCTTACCGATGAGGTAGCAGATGCTGGCCGGCAGGAAGGCGACCCCCTGCTGCCAGCGACGCGCCTGCATCGTGTCCGCCATCCAGATGGGAAGACTCGGCTCCAACATGGCGATACCCACGTTAGCGAATGTGATGGCACCTGGACAAGAAAAGATATTACAAGAATAACAGTATAAAAGAAGGAACGCGTGGCCACAAGGGAGACAGCTGAAAATCAGCAGAGGGATAAAAAACCCTCATAGCCTGAGCTGTCTCCTTTTGACTGCACACAAGTGTTATATCAATTATATTTAATTTTGTAATGATGTTATTATATCCTTTTTTGTATAATATTGTTTTTTCCTTTGTGTGTATGTCAATAAATGTCTTTTCTTTCTTTTTGTCTTTTCTTTCTAACTTTTACCAGATACTGTAAGACTAACCTTGGATTTTAATACGATTCTATACTTATCCTTTATATCCTTTGTCCTATAATGAGAGGAATTTTAAAGGCTTTGGTACACACTATTAATTCAATGATTGTATTTACTAACCAGCAGCGACTATGATGTATGGATCAGTGACGAGCGCCTTCAGTGACGGCGGGTCGCTCTCCTGACGAACCACTCCTGGTTGAAGAATCATTAGCTGCAGTACTGAGGAGTGGAGACACGAACATTACAACATGACCTCATGATGACTTCATGATCCAAGTATTGATGGAATACTCCTCATGTTAATTTATTCTCTCCCAAACTTACATCCATCGCCCAAGGCCAGCGCGGACAGCATCAGGAAGGGCGCAGTTTTTCCAACGAACTCGTACATGAGTCCTCCGAACGGTGGTCCTATGAGAACTCCCAGCGCCAGGCCTCCCAGAGCTATACCCATCGCGTTGCCTCTCTCCTATATTGTACAAAAACTTTCTCAATATCCACACGTTTATACAAAAATAAGTAATTTTCTCTTTACTTCAATAGTCCACAAGTAGACCTTTGTTAAATTTTCATTTGAAATGAAAGACTATTTCAATATGTTATATATCTGATGTATGAGCAGGTGTTAGTTGTGTGAGTGTTAGTGTGTTAGTATAACCTTATCATCTGGGTATCTCTCCGCCAACATCCCCATCCCGCTGACCGAGGAGCACGACGACCCCACGCCCTGCAGCGCGCGCGCCACGAACAGAACCGAATACGAACGACCGAACGCGAATACTGGCGAGAGACATTGACATATGAACTGATGAAAGGCGCCGAAGTCACAGGATTTAATGTTGTTAGTAGGAGAATGTTTATTTAATGGTAGGATCGATCACTAATGAATCAATCAATACTCACTGAGCGTGGAGAGGAACATCAGGACGAAGCCACTGAACATCGGGATGCTGTAACCGATCCTGGAACAAATAATACGATGACTGACTCACGCTTTAAATAATGAAGAGTACGGCTTATATATACGGACTGTATCATCATATCAAATCTAATGATTCATATGACTTTCTTGTCACCTCCTGGTGGTGTTTAATGTATGAAAATAAGAAAAGAAAATGTTTTATTTGTGAACATCTTTGCGAGACAGCACTAACATAAACAGATATAAAAAAACAAAAACATAAAATAACAATACAATTAAATAACATCTAATGAAGATTACAGAATGGAAAGTATAAATAAATCAAAACAAAATGCTGCCTACACATCAGTATGATCACAAAAAGGAGTCAGTCAGTCAGTCAGCATATGCTGTCGTTTTAGGAATTCCACACAATTAGAGGAAAAAAAATAATAATAAATTTGAGGTTTAAATAAATATTTCTTTTTATTTACTTAAGATAATAATACATATAATGTGAAATTCCCAGGAACGACAGCGCTGATTTTCAGTGATCACTTCAGTGATATATGTAGATCTACTGACTACTGTCTCCTACTGATACCTGTGAGTGAGAGGTCCCACGAACGGGTTGGCGAGCAGCTGGACGATGGCCTTGCTGGCGAACAACACCCCCACGGCCACCGTCTCCTGGATCAGCTCCCGGTGACGCTCCTCGCGCTCGGCCGTCAGGTTCATGGGAACTGGGAGACGTACAACAAGTGGAATATAACGGGCGATGAACTACACTGATGATGTGGAGGGAGGGAGGAGTTCTGTGTGATGATATAGGGCGATAACATCAGTATGACGAAGATTAAGATCGATGAACAACAGGTAGCATATATGGACTAACGTAATCTATGATACATTCCTTCAAGAAGTAATTACAAGAAATACTAAGGAATTAGAAGGAATACTATATAAAATTAGGTGGCATAACTCATGGATGTATTATGTTCAGTATATTCTAACCCAAAGACACTATCTTGATGCTGAAGGTACATAAGTGTTCGTAGTATACCAGGGTGTAGTAGACTCACCATGGACTCCTTCCTCGGCGGGAGTGTTGTTGAGACAGGGGCAGTAGGGCGCGGGGGTGGTGGTGAGGTCCTCCAGAGACACGGACAGGGGCGCGTCCGGGTGACGGATGTCGTACAGGAACTCCGGGATGATGGGCACTGAACGGAGAAACGATACAATACATAGATGACACGATACTTTATTATGTTAAACGTGGCAAACGAATAGACGATCTACTTGGTAGGCAGTAGTTATTGTCGCTTATGCACATCTCTGTTAGGGATGTGTTATAGTCCGTTAGACTTAAGCTGAGAATTTCATTTTTGTAAGTAAAAGTAAGAGTAGAGTTAGACAATTATAACGATACGTTATATAGGGAAACACTTGTAATGCACGTTACAACGGTTACAATCCCAATGCCCGATATATTAAAAAATGGCGGTATTTATACAAAAACATCTTGACCTAATTTAATATTGCAAACTTAAAAGATAATATTAAACATTGTTTATCTTAATTATTCTAATGATTATTTATGGACAAATATTATTTAATAATACAGGATTATGTAACATTAAATATTAAAGATTAATATATTACACCGGAAGTTGATAAACAGCAGATAACCAGATCAGTAAAATAAGATTCTAGTTAGCTTAATCCTTACATTATCTTCTATATATATAAAAATGGATTGCTGTTCCTTAGTCTCGCTAAAACTCGAGAACGGCTGAACGGATTTGGCTAATTTTAGTCTTGAAATACTCCTGGAAGTCCAGGGAAGGTTTAAAAGGTGAGAAAAATTGGAATGATTGCCGAAAAAAAACCCTAAAAACAGCCCTTCTCTATTTCCCATACAAACGATTTTTTGACATTAGACTTGACAACTAACTAATATGTCAATCATTCTGTTCGATTGAAACAGTAGAAATTTAATAAATACTAATACCGGGTTATTGAAGACGGAATAGAGTTCGCCCGGTCAGCTATACCTATATTACTAATGACGAAATTAACGCGGACGAAGTCGCGGGCAAAAACTAGTACATAATAAAACAAAATATTATAGCATTGATTAATCGACATAATTTGAGGAAATATAAATAACAATAAGAACTATTTATTAATTGCGCCGGAAGTATTAATTGATAACACAATATATGCTGCTTATGCCTCGATGACTATACCAGCCTTAGATTTTCGAGGAAAAGGGAGGGGTGAGAATAAGGGAATGTCAGGAAAAGATGGGAAATAAGGATAGAGCATCCGTCTCTCTCACTCATCATACTAAACGTAGTCATTAAAGACTACTTCACACTGATCTTCTGTGAGAGGGTGGTACTTACGGTCGAGACAGAACATGTTTGAGCTGTAGTAACTTGACCACTAGGCTCTACCACCTAAAAATCCTCTCATCATTCCATGTATTCACAGCATGCGTGTGTCGGGTCCATCGTTGTAGTGAGAGGAGCTTCAACAGTGACTGGGACTTGTGACCCAGGTGTAGGTTTAATATATATAGAGAGACGAAACCTCTCATCATTCCATGTATTCACAGCATGCGTGTGTCGGGTCCATCGTTGTAGTGAGAGGAGCTTCAACAGTGCCTGGGACTTGTGACCCAGGAGTAGGTTTAATATATATAGAGAGACGAAACCTCTCATCATTCCATGTATTCACAGCATGCGTGTGTCGGGTCCATCGTTGTAGTGTGAGGAGCTTCAACAGTGCCTGGGACTTGTGACCCGGGTGTAGGTTTAAGGGACCCTATCTAACGCACGTTAAACGCTCTCAAACATTAAATATAACTAAAATATAAAATGACTAAGAAAATTTATCAAACTTGTGTATTATATAGATATTCGTGTGATCTCAGTGAGTCACAATGTACCTTCCTCTATGTTTCTACGGATCATTTTAACTTTAATATAATTCTTTCATTGTTAATATTTCAACAAGTAATATACCTACACACAACTTGTCCGCCTCCTTACCCTATATATACATGTGTATATACGCGGCGTCACTCTCTTTTAACGACGTAGTCAAATCCTTTGTTCCCTTCACAGGGTCGTAAAGTGAAACGACGCGCCTCGGCTTGACTTGGAGAATGTAATGTTATTTAAAAAATATTTTATTCAACACTAAAGTTACATATTAGGAAATATTGAACTGTTTCTGAAATATGTATATGTATATTTGAAGCCTTTATTTTTTATATAATATACAAAATTAAACTATTCTAACCATATAAAACGTCATATTTTCTGTTCAAAGATAATTCTTCATTAATTCTAACTTAGTTAATCATAATTCAATATATTTTTCATATATTATTTAATTATTTTCATCACACATGTCCCCGCACCCTTCCCTACACTGAGTCACACAAGTACACTACACTTTGATAGCTGTCAGATACACTCGTGTGGTCGGGGATACACACACGATAATATAATATAGTCAGAATAATAGAGAAATTTAAATAAACTACAATTATATTTTCGGTTTATAATGCTTTTTATTTTAACTACATACTCCCGATGTATCTGTTACTTTTCATCAACCGTGATCATTAAGACGAGATGTGGCAAGGAGTTATACGAAAATATTAGTTTCATTTGAATAAATCCCTACTAATATTACAAATGCGAAAATAACTCTGTCTGACTGCTACGCTTTCACGCCTAAACCACTGAACTGATTTTAATGAAATTTGGTACAGAGATAGAGTTGACCTTGAGAAAGAACATAGGAGAGTTTTTATCCCAGATTTTTTAAAGGTTCTCTAGAAAACGCGATATAACCGAACTCATCGCGGGCGAAGCAGCGGGCAGAAAGCTAGTTTACTAATATAATTATTATAAAAAATAAATTAATTTAAATTGATCATCCAATATATTCACTATATTATATTAGTTGTATATAATTAATTATTAAATATGTACGAACGTTTGTCTGTATTCGCGATGACAAAACTAAAAGACTTTCTAATGTAATTATTATTAATTAGAAAAAGAAATAAATGAATATCAACATCAGAATTATTCATATAATAAATGTAACTTCATTTAACAATATTATTATATGAAGATCTGTTTCATTGTTTAAATGTTCTCTGTATATTCAAAGAGTATTACTTCTGTCTGCACGAGATGTGCCGGATATGATGAGACATAATAAAATAATTAGATTGAGTCGAGGAGATGACGCCTCGGAACTAGGGATGGGAACTGTATCGATAAAACGTAAAAAACATCGACTTACACAAACAGGATCAACGATAAAGAATATTACTACGATGATTTTGAAATATATTTTGTTTAAAGCCTTTTCGTGTTAATAACTGAGTACTACGCGATAGGATTAATCGACTTGAAAGTATCGATAGGCCGGGAGCACATCACTAGTACGGTTGATGAAAACTCTAAGTGAGTTTTAAGTTGGAGAGACGGGAAATTGGGCCTCGAGCGAAACGGTTTAGATATAGACGAATATATATACATATATATATTGTTTAGTTAAATATTACATAAAATGATACGTCTCATCTTCTTTCTGGCAATTTACCAGCTTTAGCCAGGGTCTGCCTTACATGTTGTGAATAGTTTTGGATAATTGTTTCTACGACCGGCCGCCTGCCTGACATCAACCCTCTTTGGGAATGCATTAATCAGTGGTGGATAAATACTATTATAAAGTACATATGACTCGGAAAAATCACATTGAAACTTGCCAGGTATCGAACCCGCAACCTCATGTATGAGAGGCGGGCATTTTAACCACCAGGCCACCATTGACTAAAAGTGATACCTCTTATAATGATGAAATACTTTGACAAAATATTTGAATTAATGAAAGATTTCTCTAAGAAAATCTCTTCTCATCTCTTGTCACATACAGACATAATACAAGAACACTTACTCATCCAGAGATTATTATATACAATACATTACACGAAAATAAAGAAATGACAAACTGAAAGACAAGTTACAAGTCATGATAGTAGTTTGGTTGTATATAAACAATTACATTGGTCATTGTTCATGTATTCTAATATAAGAAAAGAAAAATAGACGAAGTCAGGAAACTGAGTTAGTCTTACAAGACAGCAAAAAAGATCTATAAATATATACATAGTCAAAGGTTTAAGAATAAAAACTTCTTTGAACAATTCCTTTGATTGAAGAACAAAGTTATGTAAAACTTAAAATATGTTCAAAGAAAAATTAATAAAAAATACTTCAGACTTAAAAATTGAACAAAGAGATGCTTAAAAAACATTTTTACAAGCAAAACTAAAAGTTAAATCAACAGAATGCCCTGTATGTATCGTGATACCTCAATGAATAATGTAACAACTTAGAGGATTGGTTCCATCAGCCGGGAGCTGGTCCTCACATGATTCATTCATGAGACCATACATTACTACCTTCCAACACCTCACACATTATCTGATAAACAATACTTCTATTTATAATATGGATACACATCAAATATGAATAAATGATAAAATTCTTACAAATAAAGTCGCGTAAATTGATTAAGTATTTGCAAAGTTACTATGAGATGTTAAAATGATCTGAATCTATGTTTTTTGTTAATTTTGAGAAGTTTTATTAATTTTGTTTTAATATAGATCAAGTAAGACATATAAAAGTGTTTAAAGTTTGCAAAACACCTTATATTTAATTTATTATTTCAAGTATAACAGCTAAATCTCTCTACAACCTACTAAAAGACTTGGGCCAGTCCAGAATTAATATTAATACATTCTTGGAACGTACTTAGGCAGCCCTAGTAGGTTCGTTTTAAATTTGGTTGAAAGAGGAGCTTGTACGGTGTAGGTGAGCGTATAACGCAGTAGATTAGGGGTGCCTTAAACCTACACCTGGGTCACAAGTCACAGTCACTGTTGAAGCTCCTCTCACTACAACGATGGACCCGACACACGCACCGTGAATACATTGAATGATGAGAGGTTACGTCTCATAATAAAAATTTTCTAATGATCATGTAAAAATCTCTCCGTAGTCTTCATTGTTGGATGTAAACTTGATGGAAGTTTCCAAGACCCAGGAACAGCTTATAATAACTTTGATCCAAGCATACATACCTTGAACTTAGCTTACATTTTTTGTTTCAAATATATTCCAAAAGCAGTGATTGCTAAAATTTTGTAGTAGTTATACTGACTCACTTAAAACTCATATTATTTCAATAGTTTTTGTAGAGAATTTAACTGAATTACTACGTCCTACTGAGTATGAGATAGGTGGTAGGTGGTAGTTACTCACCGACGGTGGTGAGCAGCATGTTGTCGAGCAGCAGAGCGATGGCCACGATGATCAGCACCAACTTCCTGGACTCCCGACACGCTGCCACCCGGGCCCTGAGGCCGTCGGAAGACCAGCCCATGATGACACAAGAACGGACCTACTGGAAGAAGAGACATATTAGAAGAATATATGTATAAAAGAAAGTCGTGTTAGTTACACTATATATAACATAAGAACGACTGTACGGATATGGATGAAGATTGGTGGAGAGATAGATTAGGACAAGGAAACAGACGTAGGATAATTAATTTGTTCGAACGAAAAAGAAAATACTTAATAAATTCCAATATCTGGTTATTTGCAATCTCTATGTCAAAATATATGTAGTTCGCCCGGTCAGATATACATATATTACTAATGAAGAAATTAACGCGGACGAAGCAACGAGCAAAAAGTAGTATATATATTTAATTAATATCCATCTGACACTATAGTTTAGTATGAGAAGCAATAATTATATTATTTTATTATATTACATATTAAAATTTTAATAGAAGCTTCATCTAGTTATGTATTTTAATTGTAACAAAACAATTTGAATCTCAAACACCGAGTATTGATTATAATTGAACGACTCATCTCAATATTGGATGCTGTGATTAAAATTCATTGTAAAATACGTTAAAAATATGAAAAAACGCGATGAATAAATGCGTCGGATAGGCTGGGTCGGGAATGATGAGGTTTATACGAGAATATAACAAAAAACAAAGAAAAAATTAAAAAATAATATAGTACATTGTATTATAAGAAATAAAATTTATTTAATAATAAATTTTGTCAATATATATGTAAAAGGTAATCTTGACTTGAAAGCATCTGAATGTTCTCTAGACTCAGTCTATAGACTGGAACTGTTTGTAGACTCAAAGCTCCGGCTGTGAGCGGTCTGTAAGCAGGTCAAGGGTCAAGTGACGCTCCATCACGACCGATGAGCACCCTCACACTTTATTAAACACTTTACATATTTTAAAATTCAGTTTGCTTTGTGCAAATTAAATTGAAGTTTTGAGAGTTCTTTTGATTGATTGAAAGTAAAAAAAATGTAGATAGAAGTGGTTTTATATACATTTAGTGTATCAGTGTTAACCCACGACTCGTCTCTGTTCGTGTGTGGTGGGTTATATCTTTATATAAGGATATGTTTTGTTATAATAAAAAATGAGTTATTTTCTCTGACTGTACCTTTCTTTCCCTTGTCCTCAGTATATTTTTGACTTACTGTATTTTATTTTAATACTCAAATTAATTTCTGTTTAAGGTACGTTAAAACAATGCTATATAATTATTTTCTATTTGTTTAAAAAAATACTAAATACTTTTTTTCATCTTTCAAATATAAATGAGGGTAGTTATACATAGTACATACGTATATTTTTATTAATGAACAAAAAATATAATTCATATGACGTATATGTATTGAAATATATTCAATTATATATTAATTGCTTACCTTAAACGATGTCTCCCATTCTAATATAATAGTATATAATTATAGTTATAATATATACAGAGAGGCGTCCGTCCTCCTCGGCGAGCGAGGGTCGACTGACTCCGCCGCGCTCCGACAACGACAGGAACTCGAATTGTGATGTCGAATGCGACCAGAACTACTAGACCCCTCATATATACCCCGGAGGACCCGGCGTCGAACACTCGACACACGGGAGGGGGGGAGGCGGGGGATCACCAGCCATTGGACGAGGCTTCACATACAAAGCACGGCACAAACTAAATAACGCTCTAATGTAAAGGCATAAAGTTGATTTTCTATCATGTATATTAAATAATAGTTAAAATTGAACCATTCAAGCGACTTTGAACTCTATTATCATGTGATATGATGCGTTCTAGTATGAGGTGGACGTTGAAAGCTACAGGTCTTCGATAAGTTCCCGCTGAAAGTGCGTCTAACGCTCCTGAAGTAGATGGTGACTTCTGACATTTCGTGACGGAATATTATTAAAACTTTGAATGGAAGTTGAAATGTATAAAATACAGGCAGAATAACACAATGAAATAGATAATAATACTGAGAACAGTCGTTTAAGAATAATTACAGTTAAACGAGTTGGTTTACATTCACTGAAAACTTACATTAACGATTCGTTTGTCAAATTAAATACTTTTCTAGGTATTTTTATTTCTTTTAAATGCTTTAAAACTCAACAGATAATTATTATTTGCGTATTTCTTTTGTAAAAACAAATCAAAAGTAACCATTTTCAAGAGTTATAAAATGTATAACAGTAAGATGTTAAAAACTGTATACTTAAATATTCATTAAGAACTCCGATTTAAATAATACATAGTGAGCTGAGTTTTGGCCTTAATCATTTTATGTAGTATGTAATGCGACATGTGATAAATAGAACAAGAGACTTTAAATAATGTAAGAAAAGTTTCATTTTATAAACCAATATAAAAGATAAAGTAATTAAATAAGATTTCTTTTATATTATTTTAAGTACGTCGTAGTTAACACCACCCCTTACTAATAATCTCATCATACATTTTCACTTCCGTCCTTATCCCTTCAGCTCGTCCTGGGAGAGATCCTTAATTTCTATCTCCGTCCCTCTCCCTCCTGGGGGATGTATATCTCTATCTCTGTCTACATTCTTTGAGAGCGCTTTTTCCTTTTATCTGCTAAACTAATGTCAAATACGGATTTCATTCGGACATTTAACCGACTTCACGTACGAGAGGTTCAATATATATATAAAGAAAGTCGTGTTAGTTACACTATATATAACTCTAACGACTGTACGGATATGGATGAAGATTGGTGGAGAGATAGATTAGAACATATAAAGGACATAGGATATATAATACTGTTCGATCGAAACAATAAAAACTTAATAAATTTCAATATCTGGTTATTTACAGCCTCTTTGAAGAAATTAAAAAATTAACGTGGATAAAGTCGCGAGCTAAAACTAGTATATAAAATATAATTCTTTTTATTAAACATCGAAATTTTTACATTATTTTAATTTAAACGCGTATTATTTGGAACAAATGTAAAATATTCTATTTTAACAATAAGGTGAATATTGAAATGAATCTTATCTTTTATCTTTTATAATATATTTTTAATTTAAAGTACAATTTATTGTGTGTTAATAAAAATAATTCTCTTACATATTAATATAGTTAATATTATAGTAAAGTTAAATAAAACAAATGCAGGTGTAGTGCTGAACAACAGGTTACAGGTGAGCTGCTTACACACATCATTAAATTCTGCTTCTCAATTCCTTCATCATCAGCCTATAAACGCCCACTGCTGAAAGTCCTCTCCTCACATGGAGAAGGTTAGAGCATTAATCACCACGCTCGCTCAAGACGAGTTGGCGATTACAAACTTATAATTGTGAAACTGTAAGTCCAGGTTTCCTCACGATGTTTTCCTTCACCGTATGTCAGTGATGTCTAAATACTCTCAGAAAGTACATATGACTCCGAAAAATCACATTGGTACTTGCCAGGTTTGAACCCGCGCCCTCATGTATGAGAGGCGGACCCTTTAACCACTAGGCCACCACTGACTTAATCCCTTCATCAGACAATAACTTGGTTACAATCACAATACTTTAGAAGAATACTCTTTTCATGAAAATAATATTTATAATTGGTGAAGTAAGGCCTCGTCAAATTGATCGTATTTAGAACTCCTTATCTTTGGGGTTGGTTAAAAAGCCTATGTCACTCATTGTGATGTTAGCTGAATGTGAGTAAGGTTTCAATCAAAATCCGTCCAGCCATTTATGAGATAAGCCAGAACATACAAACATATGAACAACATATTTCAAATTATATTTCCTTTTAATAGTAATGTTACTAAGTTTCTTTTAAAAACCTATAAAAATAGGGGTTGGTGACAAAAAAGTCAAAATTTAGGGTTGTATGTATTTTTAATAACACATTTTAAAATAATAAAAACAAAATAATTAAGGGTGAACAACCCTTAGCACTTATTGGTATGTAAAACATATAGTAGCCGATTCTCAGAACTACTGAATACGTAAATAATTTGTTAAAAATCTGTAAAGCCGTTTCAGAGGAGTACGGTAACTAGCATTGTGACTTGAAAATATTATATATACATATATTTCTTCATCTCCGGACCCTCGGGGCCCGCTGCGGGTAGCTTTTGTTATCTTTTACTTATAATAATTAAAGATTAATGTACTGTAAAGATATATTTTTCATTACGACTCATGCTCCTTGTCTCCTCATATATTATCTTTATCTTAACCCTCACCTGACTTGACCCATGACCTCTTGACCTCTGAGGTCGGAATATAAATGTCTTTTAAAACAAGAACTTGTATTGTCCTTTTCTGTTTAGTAGAGACGTGTCTACTTATAATTTGACTAATATTGTTTTACTAACTATCAACCAGTATAACTTGACCCTCGGTTCGTTCTCATTATATCTTGTTTTATGTACAGGGTGACTGGTGAATTACTGTCAATATTTAAGGAGAATACTCGGTACATGATTCTCATTCGAATTATGTAAAAAAAATAGGTACTTAATTTTTGACCAAATTTCCGTATAAATAAATAAAGTGTTGACACGTTCCAAGTGTTCCAAGTATGGACGCGTGCGGCGGCGTGCTGATACAACACCACGCTGCCAAACGCGCGTGTGTGTGTGTGTGTATACCTAATCTGTAGGGTGTTCACACGATGCGTAATTAATTACATAACTTTTGGTTAACTTTACTTAAAAGTTTATTAATATTTATGTTATATTAATTTTTATTTTGTCATATATGATCGTCAAATATCACGTCATCAGGTATCGATAGTAATTCACCAGTCACCCTGTATATGTTAAGTTTAATAATTCTATGTTATGTGTACACAGACATACATACATTTATCCTATCCTAATTCACATTTCATATAATTCATATTTCTCATATAATCTCATCGTCATCTCATCAACTCATCGTGTCAGCTGTAAATTGATTCTTCACCAGCCCGCGGGGAGGAGTCGTTAGCTCGTCACCCACAAACGTTCCGTCCATATTATAAGTAATGATTAGCTTTAAATTAAAATATTAAATATACTAATACTACTTGCATACCGCGACTTTGTCTATATTGAGTTTAAAAATGTTTTCATACAGAAACAAATATTGTATTCTTAATCTTTATAAAAAAAGTCGTGTTAGTTACACTATATATAACTCTAACGACTGTACGGGTTTGGATGAAGATTGGTGGAGAGATAGATTAGAACATTTTGGTATAAATTATGTTCTATGTCTCAATCTATTTATTCAACTATATTATAATCAAGTTTCATCAGAATAAGTTCAGTAGTTTTAGGGTGAAGCATGAACAAACACACATATATACATCCGATGTTTCTCATTAATTACTCATCAAGTATTCAAGCCCGGCGTTATCTTAAACCGTGCGGTCATCACGAGGATGGAGGGGTGAGGGTGTGAGGTCATTAGGAACAGAGGTCAAAGGTCAATTTTTATAATAAATGAGAATATATGCATTGATTTTGTTTTCTTGATACTTGTCTTGACACGATGGTTCAGTTGATAGAATAGCTACAGAGAGTCATACCAGGAAGTCGCAGGTTCATCTCGCGTCATCTCCTATATCTTCCTGACACTCTGTACATCTCAATCTCTTCTATGACTTTCATTATTTTATTCTCCAATTCTTTTTGGTGAAGCATTATTTATTTCATACCAAAATCAACCTTGACATATACAGAATAAAGTTTAGAATAACTTGTCTCTGTGTAACAACTCAATATGATAAAATAATATGTTTAGGGAGTTCCAATTCTGAAGTTAAAGATATAGAATCTATAATCGACTGATAGGACTTGATGTAGGGTGACAACAAATAGTTACGGAGTTACAAGAATTTAAATATAAGTAATTTAAATATAACAAGAATTTAAATATAATAAGTCTACCTTAGTCAATGAAAGTCATAGAATTAAATCTATCTTTATTGTTGTACATCTTGAGTAGAATCTAAATCTATATCTCTACAACCAACTAAAAGACTTTGGTCTGTCCAGAACTAATATTAATACATTCTAGGAACGTACTTCAAAGGCAGCCCTAGTAGATTCGTTTCAAAGGTATAGAGAGGAGCTTGTACAGTAGAGGTGATCGTTTAACGCGTTAGATAGGGTCCCTTAAACCTACACCTGGGTCGCAAGTCCCAGTCACTGTTGAAGCTCCACTCACTACAACGATGGACCCGACACACGCACCGTGAATACATGGAACTGCTGAGAGGTTTCGTCTTAATATAAATACATTATTTTCTGTATTATTCTGTCCGTGTGGTGTCTCCAGCCCCCAAACCCCAACCCTCGTCGGGTGAGGTCCCGTTATTCAATAAGCGAATGCCAGAACGAAGAATTCAGTCTCTTCAGCATTCATCAAACGCGTGGAGTACAGCGACGGAGCGACGGAGCGACCCACACAACATTAACGGCTCTTAATAAAAACTAAATTATTATTATAAAACAATATAACAACTGTTGAAGAAGAAAACTAATTACAAGTTGTGATTCACTAACAACTAGCCAGCTTCAACAATGATAGTTGTAGAACTAAGATGTCATAGAAAATTTAGAATTAAGAATAATTAAATATTATTTAAAATCAGTCATTGGTGTCCTAGTGGTTAAAGGTCCGCCTCTCATGCATGAGGGCGCGGGTTCAATCCTGGCCCTGGCAAGTACCAATGTGATGTTTTCGAGTCATATGTACTTTATAACAGTATTTAGACACCACTGATGCATTCCCAAAGAGGGTTGATGTCAGGCAGGCGGTCGTAAAACAATAAGCCAAAACTATTCACAACATGCAAGGCAGACCCTGGCTAAAGCTGGCAAACTGCCAGGTAGAAGAAGATTAAAAATGACATACACTGAGAATGTTGTAATTATTATTGAAATAATATATAAATAAAAGTACTATATATATAATAATTGTATTAATTATATATATTTTAGTGTGTATGTATATATGTATGTATGTTAATAGAGCGGAACGAGTAGGAGCGCGATGAATTTCAATTTCCAAAGAATGGCGTCAAAGACAGCCTGTTGATTCACACCCGGCTCACATACATACACATATATTATTATGTATATTTATATTGAGTTAGTAAAATTGATAGTAATTATTATAGTATTTATCATAGTTGCATTACATGTGGTCGAGGAGTGGGGATGAAACGGTCGGTGGCAAAGAGAATGACAGAAAAAATTATATTTATTAATACTTTCTCATTCAGAATCAATACTAATAATTTATTCTAATTTTAATTCATACATATTATCTAAATGACAATATTTTTATTCCCTTTCAATTATAACATATCTGTAGCGTCATGTAAGCCTGTGATGGCGTCACCCCTTCATCGAGAGCTTCCCTCCTCCTCCTCCTCCTCCTCCCTCCTCCCACTCAGAGATCATTTCACAGAGCGTCCATCAGATATCAATTGAATTAACAATAAAATGAATTAAACCGTCCCTTATAAACTGTGAAGATTGTTAATAAATAGATGGATATATATATATATATATATATATATATAGTTGTATGTATGTCTCTCCAAAGTTAAACTCTGAAACTTCAGCTAGAAGTTAACTAGCATATAATTGACATATATGTATATATGTAGATTTAAAAATGTTATTTTAAACTAACTGAATGTCGTTAGTATGTAGTTTATAATAAAAAATAAATCGCGTAGTACATCCGAAAATATAAGTTTCATTTAAATGGAAAATACGTTTTAGACTAAATATAATAGAAATGTATCAACAAGCTTCTGAAGACTATGATCATCTTATGGTTGGTGTCGTCGTTTGTCTGTCTGTGTGTACAATTAATATACAGGGTGACTGGTGAATTACTATCAATATTTAAGGAGCATACTCGGTACATGATTCTCATTCGAATTATGTAAAAAAAATAGGTAGGTACTTAATTTTTGACCAAATTTCCGTATAAATAAATAAAGTGTGGACACGTTCCAAGTGTTCCAAGTGTGGACGCGTGCGGCGGCGTGCTGATACAACACCACGCCGCCGCACGCGTGTGTGTGTGTGTGTGTGTGTATACCTAATCTGTAGGGTGTTCACACGATGCGTAATTAATTACATAACTTTTGGTTAACTTTACTTAGAAGTTTATTAATATTTATGTTATATTAATTTTTATTCTGTCATATATGATCGTCAAATATCACGTCATCAAGTATCGATAGTAATTCACCAGTCACCCTGTATATAATATTGACTGCTAATAGAGTGAGGTAATCAACTGTTTACTATGAATTTAGACACAAACTAATCTTTTATTGATATAACAAACGAAAGAAGCCGCGGGAAACAGCTAGTGGTTAATTAAAAATAGTGTAAACAAAAGCAAAAGTTTCAATACCTGGCAATTACCAATGTGATTGTTCCGAGTCATATGTACTTAAGAGTATTTAGACATCACTGACTGATGAAGGAAAATATGAGGAAACATGGACTTAGCAAATTATAAGTTTGAAATCACCAACCCGTGTTGAGCGAGCGTGGTGATTAATGCTCTAACCTTCTCCATGTGAGAAGAGGACTTATGATGATGAAGTAGATATAAGGAATTGTAAAAATAATTTAAAGTTATTTTAGACTATACTTGTGTTATAAGAATGTCTTTAGTCAAACTTTATACGTTTACTACAGGTTCACCACACGAGATACAGAGAGTCATTCGTTTTCCATTCATATAGAATGAGAAACGTGAAAAGCCTCGTACATAGTGTTACTACACGAACATGTGGTAAGCGTTCAGAACTCGTAAATGAAATATTAACATTAAAAGGCACGTTTTGATTTATAAACATACAAACATATGTATTATATAGTTATATATAATGTAAGAAAATTAATAAGATATTAAAACTTTACCTTAGATTTACTTTACTTACCTTACCTTAGCCTTAGATCTTACCCGACTGCGGAGATAAGAAGTACAAGAGTCACCCACAAGACGATCATTTAAACACAACACTTTTTTTCAATATTATTCGTATATTTTTTATTTCATTGAATTTTATATTTGTCAGACTGTATTTCGTCCATAACTATCACAAAATATATACAGAAGTGATTTTGATGAAATTCAAAATATCCCTTAGTCAGTGATAGAAAAAAATATATATTTAAAGAATATAAATGTTTAATGTACTCTGCTTGATTATCAAGTTTTATATTAAAAATCATTTTAGTTTGTTATTCAAGAAAACAAACAAACGCACAAAAACCTATTTTTCTGAATACAGAAGATTGCCCACAACATATTTATATATATAAAAGAAAGTCGTGTTAGTTACACTATATATAACTCTAACGACTGTACGGAAATGGGTGAAGATTGGTGGAGAGATAGATTAGAACATAGAAAGGACAAAGGATACTATACATACGATAGAAAAAAAAGCAATAAGTTGATCAAATATAAAATCTTCTTATCAAGTGTCTTTAAGGAGGAATAAAATTCGCCCGGTCAGATATACATTACTAATTATGAAACTAACGCGGACAAAGTCGCTGACAAAGGCTAGTATATATAACATAATACGTTCTAATAATAACAATTCTGTTTTCTTCATACAATCCGTTATCAGTCCGTTATCAGTAATCAATAATTATCGGCTTCATGAACACTGAACACTGAGCCCTCGCGCGCATTTCCTCCACACATACAAAAGAAAACATAGCTATCACATACTAGATAGCTCATTAAAATCACTTCTGGCAGCTGGAAAATTAGAAGTATTACATATAGAGTGGCGAGGACCTGGAGTTTTACACCTGGAAGCATCTCCACTACAACGCAGCCTTATCTTGAGATTTACAGCTCATTACATGACGTCGGTCCAGCACAGTGTTTTGCTGAAGTTCTTCAAAGATACGTAAGTACATTATTATTATATTAACAAGAATTTTCTTTATTATTTTAACTAGAAGATTGTTTTTGGCTTAAAATTATTACTAAGCATATATAAGTTTTGTTTCACAAACAGTAGAAAAGTTAAAGACGTTAATTTTTATCAAAAACATTCACTCAAAATATCCATCGATTATTTTTAGATAAGATAAGTAACTGTGGATTATATAAAAAATAAATAAGTTTAGGTCTCATTGTGTGAGTTCTGAAACACTGATACAATCAGATTATAATACAAGTGTAATCGGTTTAAAGAAAATTAAATGATAATTACGATTTGAAGTTTAAGATCACGAAAAGTCGAGTAAGAATATGTGTTACAATATATATTTAAGTAGAACTAACGAATAAAGACAGGAGAGAATTAGTTGTATTGTAATATAATCAAAGTTTAAAGAAAACATTTCCTTTCTGACACAATTGATCAATAAAATTCCAGAACAAACATGTCGGAGAGAAAAGAAGGAATAGAATCTAGAGTACCGAAAGAACAAGAGATACGAGGAGATAAGGAGATACAGGAGGAGATAGCGAGAGCTGGGGAGGTGGAGATGAAGGAGTTCAGTCAGGAGCCGGTGATCAAGGTGACGAGGGAAGAATCCTCCTTCATCAAGGGAGATCTCAAGGTGGAGAAGCTGAGAGTGACGGAGAACATCGCGGTAAGATACCAACACCTGTTCAAAAAAACTGACACACCAGGAAAGACAGTCGTCACCCAGGTACAGAGAATAGAGTACGGACAGAAGAAGTGATTACACGAACATGGAAATGATATTAATAAAGTATTACTTATATGATTTTATTTTAATTCATTAATGTCCTTATAGAATGGAAAAATTATGGTTTAAAAATATGGATAAATTGTACAAAAATTCATGGAAAGTTATTGTATTTACAAAAATAACTGCTATTTAAAAGTAACTAACCATTTCCTAAACAAAAACATCTTATATGTATTTCTGTATCATAATAGTTGTCATTGTACTTGATGAACTCAAGACATTAGTTCAGGGTCACGTAATGAATGATTGTGTTGAGGAAAATCTTGATCAGATCTATACACACATATAGACGATAAATATTAAAACAAACTTGACTATTGAATGTAATAATTGTAAATATTTTTACGTTTTTTAGAATGGAACAACAAAAATAATAAGTGTGACAGAAACAAGTGAACCGAATGAAGAACAAATTTTATACAGAGAAATGACGACAATGAAAGCAGAGTATGATGAACAGAGACGAGAAGGTAATGTACAAATTATTAACTAAAATATGGTATTAGTAATGCTAACAGGACATTCCTGGACCAAGTCTGGAAAACAAACATGTCTCCCAAGCAAAAATATGTAAAATTAGATCATTATATTAATAAGTATTGTTTAAAAACAGGTTTCCAGAGAGCAGTGCATAGAGTGACGAAGATACCACAGTTTAAATTTAAACACACCGTGGATAAGATAAAGAAACAAGAAGAAATGATAAAGGAAGGGAAAGATGAGGTGGAAAAGAGTTGGAATGACTTAGAAATACATTAAGAACTTCTGAACTATTCAAAACTTATTTATCTTTTCCGTTTCAGGCGAACCTTGCACTTCGAGTGGTAGAAGTTGTACAAGAAACAAAGAATGATAGAAAACATTTACAAGAACAACAAAATGATAAGATGCAGTCTCCAAATATGGAAGATGAATTTGATAAAATATATGACGAGATATGTGACGGTCCACAATCAGGAAACTTTACGACTCCTGAAAAAATTGAAGATCTGGACAAATTAGAAAATAAATTTGAAGAAATTATGAATGATTATGACAAGCAGAGGGAACAGAAAGAACAGGCGGGCTCGGGGAGAGTTAGAAGCAAAATACCTTTGATGAAACGCAAGAGTGAACAAGATATTGACGTCTCAAAATCTACTTTCAGAAGAAATTCTCTTAAGAGGTTAAGTTCTGTTGATGACGCAAAGAATATTATATGCAAGATACCAGAACCGGTCGTGAGAGAAAGAAGAAAACAAGAAGAATCCATCCAGAATAATACGGTTACATCTTTAAACAGTGATACCGTGGTTCAGACTGAAACAGTGTCAGTTAAGACATTTACTTTGGCAAGAAAAGTTGCAACAAGTGCCTCAGAAACAATATCCACACAAAAAAGTCATGAAATCGTCCAAGGAATAGAAAATGATTTGATAACACATCGAGATTTAACAGGAAGCAGAATTCCAAAGCATTTTAAAAATATAAACGGAAAAGAAACAAAAATGCAAGCAACAGAAATTAAAAGTGAGTCGAGAACAGAAAAAATAAATGAAGACATGAAAATTAACAGAAATGAAACGAAAGAAATGAAAACAACGACCATAAAAGATTACACGATAACATTGAACATAAAAGATAATATATCAAAGGTTGAAACAAAACCAATTATTATAGAAAATGTTAAAATACTCGGGAACAACGACGAAAAGACACAAAAAGACTTTCAACAAACAACAGCTGACAAACAATCACACATTGATAATAATATACAACAAGGAACAACTAGTGTAGAAGTGACCTCACCGATTATAACTACAACTATTAAAGAAGATAATAATAATAATGTGGTTTCAAACAAACATGTTACAGATTTAGACTCAAAAACATCTCAAGAAGAAGATTCAACTAATACAGTTGTAGAAGAACAAACCAACAATAATAGTGACATTAAAGAAACGTCGTCCCTCTCTACTCTTGAGTGTGACAAAGAAAATACATTAGATACAAGAAAAGAAGATCTAGATCAGTCTATTAGTAGAACTACTCACACTAACATACAAGAAAATGAACTTAAAGAGACGGTCAATGTTGTGACATTAGAATTTCCAAAGGCTTTAGTTTCTGAGTCTCAAAATGTTTCAAACGATTACCGTAGTCAAGTTTTAAACACCTCTAACGATATATCAGAGATAACAGAATTTGAAATACTGAGAACTGGAGCAGAAATAAAATACAAAGGTGATGTAGAGAGTAAGTTATGTGATAGAAATATTGGTAAAGTAATTCATGAAAGAGTTGAACAAAATCACAAGCAGACGGAACGTATAGAAGATAAGAGACTTGAAAATAATATTAATATTAACAACATAAGTCAAGAAAACGACTGCCATGGTAAAGAAAGTGACATAAACAAGAAAATAGAATTAAAAGAAAGTATAACAAATAATATAGAACATTCAAAACAAGGAGAGAAAGAAGGGAACGCAGAGGGAGAGTCACAGAAAAACATCACGACCAAGGAAAGAACAGAAAAAGAAGTAAGAAATGGAGAATATTATATCGAAAAGTATCAAAACATGAGTCCAGAGAAGTTAAATGAGTTAGAGGAAGAAGACATCATTATATTAAAGGGAAAAGTGAAGAGAGTCATGAACAGACTGAACTCTAGAGAGTTTAGAAAGAGAGACACGGAGAGTGTGGAGCTGCCGGCAGATGTGAGTGTTGTGAATAAGATAGCTTTGTTTGAGGTAAGTATATAGAGATACGAGATATTATAGGAAAATAAACATAAAAAGAGAGAGAGAGTGAGAGAGAGAGAGGAGCTTGGACGGTGTAGGTGAGCGTTTAACCTGTTAGATAAGGGTCCCATAAACCTACACCTGGGTCACAAGTCCCAGTCACTGTTGAAGCTCACTACAACGATACACGCACCGTGAATACATGGAATGATGAGAGGTTTCGTCTCTGTCTTAGAAAATATACGACAGAAATGTTATAGTAATATTTCTTATTCCCTATACTAATAGTTATATAGATAAGAAACAAGAAAAGTTAGGAAAATATAAATCAAATATTAATTTGTATTTCAGCAATCCAAAGATTCTGTACGAAGAGATAATTCACAAGAAAAAATCAAAAAAGATTTGAACAAACCAAAGATAGTCGACGAAATATTGAAGACAGTGAACAAGGAGACGAGTGAAGATGAGAAGAATATGAGAAGTGATTCAAGAAGAGAAGAATCATTCAGTTATAACACGTTCTTGAACTACAAGAATAACTACAAAAGAGGAATGAGTGTACAGGAATATAATATAAACCTGAACAACATTAAAGATGAGAAGAAAAATATACTTCAAAAGATAGAAACCGCTCAAAAAGATAACGAAAGAAAAGATATATTAAAGGAATACAAGATAAATAAAGAAAAAGATTCAGAGACGAAGCGAGCGAGGGCTGCGGCGGAGAACAACTACCAGGGGGTGCGAGGGAGAGTGAGGGAGATGGTGATGAGGATGAACTCCATAGACAAGATGATGACGGAGAGAAGAGAAGGAGAGAGGAGGGAGGGAGAGAGGAGGAGACGGAGGCAGGGCTCAGTGACGGAGACTATAGCACTGTTTGAGGTTGGTATTCAATATATGAGAGGTAGATAATATATATGAAACAGATATACTTGTGATAGTACTAGGAGCGTAGTAGTAGTAGTTTCATATTCATACTACATAAGTTAACAGTTTTTCATTCATAAATCTTAGCATATAATAAGAAAACGGCAAACGCGTCGTATGTCGTATGAATAAAACTGATACTAAAGATATTATTCCGTACTTCCTCGTATGAATGCTAGCTATATACTTGTGGTTTATAATATATTAAGGAACTTCGTTCGGATTTTTAAAAATAAAATAACAGTAAGACATTTGACAATTTGACTATGCGATATTAATTAAAATGAACAAATATAAAAGGTAAATAAAGGAATGAAATGATAACCTGCTAACTCCAGTTAAACAACAATTAAAGTACTTACAGAGTAATATCCTTAAAATAGCCTTAGACTAATTGCTAAACCAATATTAATAGTCGAAAACCCATGAGCGATGTCGCCTCGACGACGGACCACCAGAAAGTGCGGATGTTTCTTTTTGCGCACTGCTTCTATTTTGTTTCTTTTCCAAGGAGTTCCTAACTCGGCTTCTATTTTGTTTCTTGACCAAGGAGTTTCCTAACTCGGCCTCTCCTGACTCCTGGTCGTCCTCGGCCACATTCTCTCTGTTTTTCAGTAGTAGCCTCGTCTACTGCGCCACCTTCCCGATCTTCGTCTTCAAGGTTTGGCATAGACGATCCGGCCGAAGCACCTTTAACATTGTCATCCTGAATTTTGAAATAACATCACCATTACTATCGGAAACATTATTGTTTGCATGAGTGTAGTGTCCAAATGTTTTTCAAATAAACAAAGTAATGTAAGCTAAACGGCATCCAAGACAGATAAAGTGAAAATAAAGAAAAAGGTGTGAAATCGACGGTATCCCAACAATTTCACATCCCCACAGTACATTACCATTGTCGGGTGACTCACGCCTTTGAAGGGCTACCAACACCATAGAAGTGCAGCTCATGCCAATGCGACTCACGCAATCGGCAACTTCCACCACTGGGGGCTCCCGTCAGTGGTGACTCCCGTCAGTGGCGACTCCCGTCAGTGGCGACTCCCGTCAGTGGCGACTCCCGTCAGTGGCGACTCCCGTCAGTGGCGACCACCGCTGATGGCGGCCGATGCAACTGAGGACAAACGTTAAGGGCGACTAACGCCCGTGCGACTAACGCACATGACGACACACGTCAAAGGCGACTAACGCCAAGGCGACAAACGCCAATGCGACTAACGCAACTGACGACACACGTCAAAGGCGACTAACGCCAAGGCGACAAACGCCAATGCGACTAACGCAAACTGACGACACACGTCAAAGGCGACTAACGCCAAGGCGACAAACGCCAATGCGACTAACGCAAACTGACGACACACGTCAAAGGCGACTAACGCCAAGGCGACAAACGCCAGTGGTGATGAGTAGACTTGCGTCTTGAACTCCCACCCGGCAGCAGGTCAATGAGACGCCTGCGGAGTCTCGAACCTCCACCAGCTGCAGGCCAGCGGGATGTCCCCGTCTCGACAAGTGACGTCTCGCGAAACTTGTCACCACTGCTTCTGAGAACAGTCGTTAAAAGAAAATGAGCAAAGTGACAAAACAGTTCAAAAATTTCACCATCGAATACTATAGCACCAGTATCTGGGCACCATTCTAAATTCCATGGCATCACACGTTGAGTGGTTGGTTGAGCTGATTTAAGAGCATTACATTACATTGGATTACAATTTTAAACTGGATGCCAACTAGATTGTGGTGGAAATATTTTAAGGCCCTGACCTTATTTCACTATTGTAATTAATCTCTATTTCATGTACCGCGATCATACACGAATGCGGGATTACGCGCCCCAATACGAAAAATATGTCGTACTCATAATAACGAATTTTCTCAGGTTGATATTCTACGTCATAACTCTGCCGCGTTTCACAGCAAGTTGCGGGACATATTATTGAAAAAAGAATAAACCACCTAGCAGTCCTGTTTTTCATTTACATTGACTGGGAATTTAGTTTAGTTTGTTTTAAGTATTGGATATTCTCTGCACATACGCCATCGCTCCCTTCACATACTAGATTAGGTTTACACATCGCCTTTCAAATTTATTTATTAGTGAGATACATGCCCAAGCGTCCTCTCATTTTTACTTAGTTATATTTCTTGGTGAGAAATGTTTGAGGACACAGGTATTTTGTCTTTAATATGCTGTATTGTTGTTTATATTTTTTTGTTATACTCCTGTGATCTGTTTTTTTTTTATCCAATAACCAAAATAAAATAAAAATAAAATTGCAGATGATTTCATGTAATGATGTAATTGCAGAGCCTCCTCCTTTCTAGCGCTCGGGCTAACCTGACCACCACTTATATGTCTGTCTAAGTTCTCAACTTCGGTATTCAGAAACGAGTATTTTATTTTAATATTGATCGAAAAAAATAGAATTCTACCTTTACCTTTTTTAGCATTAAAATTCAGAAGAAGTACTTTGTTGATATAAACGAGCAAGTCATCAGAATCAATGAATTCCCGAAGCATATCATTAATTGATAATAGGTTTGTAAACAATAGATGAGTTTGTCAAACCATATGGCATCTTTCAGTATTCGTAGTTCCCTCCTGACGCGGACGTAACGAAGCCTGTGTAGTGAATACAGTCGTCCCTGATTCTCATTTCATGAAGTCGCCATATCAGGGCCGGTGACGAAGTTATGTCATCCTAAAAAAATCAATTTAATGGTCAATAAATGAAAACGGATATCTTTCCTTCTCTGTATTGCGAATAAGTGCTCGAAAATCTTTTTCGTCACTGAAATTATTGAGCTGGCATATTGGGATCGAGATTCCCTAATGATGCCTTTATCTAAGAGATCCTTCATTATTTCGCTAACTTGTACCATCTTCCTGTAAAATAAATTGTATGGGCGACAAGTTATTGGAATTGAACTAGTAAGTTTGATATTCATCTCACCTATACTGTACTGTAGTGGCAGCGGTACACGAGGAAATCCGAGAAAAGTGACAATACAAACATTGGTGATTGCAGATTACTACCTGGCAGAGGGATTTTAATAAAGAGTTTTCGATGGGTGGTACTTGATTAACCTGACTGATCCCAGCGAGTGATATACTGTTGTTGTTACTCTTACATACATTACTCCAACACGATTCAAAACATCTGTTGCTATTCATGCAGGCTGACGGTACTACTACTAGATCTTAAAATGAAATATTGCTGAATTCAATAGTTACTGTGTCGTGAGGAGTGGCAAAGGTTTCGTATTCATTAACGTCTCGTAATGTACATCGTATACTTGGATTGGCAAGAAAGTAATTTAATAAGGTCAGAAGAAATCAGTGATATGATGTGATCACCAATATTGATAAATATGTTAATCGGTATGCACTATCAACTGCACGAACCACATCGATATTTCTCACCAGCTTCGGTTAACATATGTTTACATTTTGGTAGTTAGTTAATCCTTACCTATTCTTGACAAAACATGCGTCTTCACAGTTTCCTGTAGTTTTAATAAATGCGCGTATTAAGACGACTTAGCAGCGGGATTATCATTTTATTCTGAAAGTTGTTAATGTTGGTTTGTTTATTATTACAATTCCAAGTTCTGCAGATAAATCCTTAACCAATCGTAAACGTTATAATGTACGTCTCACATTCCCAGCGTATGTCGTATATTAGTTGTATGTCGTATTCATACATGCAAAGGAAATGTTAGCGGAGTCCAACTTCTGAGAACAGAGAGGTCTTAAATGAGTTTTAAAAATATCCATGTACGACCATTTGTGACCTATGAATTTAGTTATGTTTTGGCGTCGGCTTTTAAATAAGATGCTTCCCGGGAAAAACACTCATGATCTTCCACTGTCCACTATCATTGCGCGATCTACCTCTAGACACAATAAATCAATCAGAAGAATCAAAAATTGACACGTAATAATGAAGCGATTTTATGAGTGCGAGATTCTTAAGGGCTTCTGTCATAATGGTAAAATACGAAACTGACATAGTATCGGGATAGCGAACAGTGGTATCTTGATCGTGAGTCGTAGTCTGAGAGACATCGCTCAAGTTAACTAAACTATTTACGTTTGGTGATTCGTTGCCACTATTAACTATGTGATTGTGACCTATAGACACATTTCTTACGACCGATTCAGCAACATTTCCTGATAATTATGTTGTAACTCTACGACACTATTATTAAACTGATCGACAGCTTTGAGTCTTACTAAAATGTTATTCAAATTATCATTCAATGAATCACTTACAAGTAAGTGTGATGCGGGTGCGTGTTGAGAAAATTTACTGCTGCTCGACTCGTTTCTCGATCTACGACAACGTACTCGTGCTATGGACACCCTAGGGTATCTATGTGGGCTAGATATCAATCTATTTTTCACATGGTGTAATCTTTTTCTAATTTAGATCGATTACGATTCATTTTATTAGACATAATTGTCAAAAAGAAAACAAAATACGGTGGACTAAAGAATTTATAAAAAGAGATCTTTATCCCATTTCTGAATTAAGGAACTTCGTTCGGATTTTTAAAAATAAAATAACAGTAAGACATTTGACAATTTGACTATGCGATATTAATTAAAATGAACAAATATAAAAGGTAAATAAAGGAATGAAATGATAACCTGCTAACTCCAGTTAAACAACAATTAAAGTACTTACAGAGTAATATCCTTAAAATAGCCTTAGACTAATTGCTAAACCAATATTAATAGTCGAAAACCCATGAGCGATGTCGCCTCGACGACGGACCACCAGAAAGTGCGGATGTTTCTTTTTGCGCACTGCTTCTATTTTGTTTCTTTTCCAAGGAGTTCCTAACTCGGCTTCTATTTTGTTTCTTGACCAAGGAGTTTCCTAACTATATATTATTCATTTTATCTTTATGTATGTATAATGACAAGAATTAATTCATTTAATATGAATACACATAAAAATACATCTTTAATATTCTTGAAAAACATAACGCGGCTCTAGACCTACAATTTATAATTAAATAAAATAAAATATGAAGCAAAGTCGAATGATATGTTAGTCAAGAATCCTTTATATATTAATGATAGGTGATGAGACGAGTAGGGACAGTCGATCCAAGATATTGATAATACAGAGGTGGAACTATGTTGGTGTTTGTGAGTATATATATGTTTAATATACTAGTTATTGTCCGCGATATCGTCCGCGTTAATTTCTTCATTAGTAATATATATATATCTGATCGGCCGAACTATATTCCGACATAGAGGCTGTAAATAACCAGATATTGGAATTTATTAAGTATTCTTTCCTCTATCGAAAAGTATTAAGTATGCTATGTCCTTCTCCTTGTTCTAATCTATCTCTCCACCAATCTTCATCCATATCCGTACAGTCGTTCTTGAGTTATATATAGTGTAACTAACACGACTTCCTTATATATGTATATTATCAATAACATAGTATTTACATAAGCTATGAGTAATTAAATGAAAAGAATCTGATTCGTGAATTATCTTACAAAGTAACTAGTGTGTGTGTGTGTTCGATTGAAAAATTTTTGTACTTTGACTGTTTGTACATGTATTGTACATGCCTCAATTTAATCATCTTTCTATCTTCTAATTTAAAGGATCGATGGAAAAACTTAAACAATAGCAATCACTTACTATGTGACAAAAAGGAATATGGGAAGATGTGCGTATTCAATAAAAAACATAAGTTCGAGAGAGACCATGTTTATTATTGAATAACAAAAGACCAGGTAGACAAGATTCTGTCCGATGTTGGCTAGAACAATAAAAAAACTGTTGAATTAATTAAAAAAAACGGTATAAATATAACATTTATTTTGTTTTAAACAATTTAAATTAAATTAATATTTCTCGGATATACTAAGTACGCGTGCTTTTACTACGCTACGTTTCGATTACTTTTCATCAACCGTGATCATTAAGACGAGATGTGAGTGTCTATAATGCATATTATGTTTTAAACAATATATTACAATAAATTTAGATTGTTTATCTCCACAATCAATGCAGGCTCGACATCTTAAAAATGATCTTTTTATGCGCATAATTTCTACTGTTGATAGAGCCCGTATGATTTTTTGTCAAAGCTAATCTAATGTTGACTGTAGGATTCAATATCGAGACCACCCCAGTAGAAGAAATCCAGAGGATTCAGGTAGAACATGATACGGGAAGTACATCACTTTGTACATACTTGTATTGCAAATTACGTAAACTCATTCTTTTATAATTGTAGGATTGTTTTGGCAGAAGTTTAAATAAGTATTTCAATTTAAGTTCCCTAAAGAAGGGCTCAATTACTGCTCTTAATATTCTCCATGATTTTATTTTCAATAGATATACTTAGTTGTTTTTTGACGATTGTCATTGGTATGTAAGTTGTGAAGATTTTAATACTCATCTATCTGTATATGTATATATATATATGGCGGGTCGTTTTTCTAAAGATTCGAGATCTTCCCTGTATTTTTACAACATCAAATCATAAAATTCGACTTTAGTTATTCAGTATTAAATATCGTCTCTCTCTTTTTAATACGCACATCTTTCAACAATATTCCTTTTCAGAACAATAAGTGCTTGTGGTTTGTGTCTGTTTTATCTAAAATATTATGCTTTTTTTAAAGACTTGCCTTGATTTCAGTAATTTTTTTACAACAGGATGTGTGAAAGTGGACTGAAAGTTTAAATAATGCAAAGTTTTAAGGAAAACTACTTATATAGAGAGAACTACTTAGGACGCTGGAACAAATGAAGGGTCATAAATATTTGATAAACTGTGATCACAATAGTAAGAAATACCATTTAGCATGTTGATTTTCAAAAACTTTCAATTTTTTTGTAATTTATAAAAAACCCGAGATTTTTTTGTAAATTTTTTCTATAGTATTCATTGGCTGCTCCCGTTGTGTATATTTTTTGTTGTATTTTGGGACCCATTGCATATTTAATGTAGGGCAGGTAATCTTTTTTATTCAGGCACATTCTAAACAACTTCACATCAAGGGTCAGTCGTCTCATAATCTCTTCTACCACATCATTCTCATTCCTCGTCTCTCCACCGTCACTCCTCGTTAAAGTTTCGACTTATACAATTAAATATAATAAATTTCTTATTAAATATTAATTCTTAACTGGTTCTGATCTTAGTGCTTATATTTTTGAAAGAGAATAACAAATAACGTTTTTTTATGTAAAAATCGTGTAGTGTGTGTTGTGAAAACATTTTGATTATATAAAGATATTATATTTAATTATATTTACTATAAAATATCTTGAATTATTATTGTACTAGTGTCTAGTTCGCTGTGGTTGTAAGTGAGAAATACAACAACAAAAGGCAGCATATGTTTAATTGAAGTTTATTTTCAATACTTGTGGGTAGATAATAATTTTTGTTCTCTTTTGTTTTTGAAGATGTAAGCTAGCTGATTTTCCATATGAAAAGTAATCTATACCCAAATCTAGACCACACGTTTGTAAAGATTAACTTTGAACTTTGTTTATTGTGACTTAATACCAAGTGAATTGGGAATGGCAATCTTTTAAATTGAATTGGTGTGTCTGTCGTGATCATGGCAATTCGAGGAATGAGTACATCTTCAGTTTTGAGAGGATCCTTTAAAATCTTTGTTTCCACAATGTTGTTCATTAATATCGTATCAGCGAGTCGCGCGCCGATGAAGAGTTACGGCCGCTTGATGACGCACCTGGGGGTACGTTGGTGAAGTGAAAAATATATTAAAATAATACATGAAGCGCGTTGTTTATTGTGTCAAAATTTGAGATGAATCAGTGCAGTATATTTTGAGTTTTTGAGTCATATACAGACCAACTTAACATTTATATAATATATAGTTCTGAACTTCAATATTTTAAATATCTTTTGTTTATGAAATGCGGATGTATTTAGATAATGATTAGAAAAGAAATATAACAATAACATATTGATCAAATTATACATTATACACAGTGTAATAATGTTATCGGACTTACAAAACGAAATACTTACATCAATATTGGTTCAGTCTTACAAAAAGTACTAATTTTCAATAATAATTATGATTAATCCAACAGAAGAAGGTGCCGGCTGTTCGTCAGGAGTCTATATCTACCGCGAGTGTACCAGTGAAGAAAGATGAGGCGAATGTTCAGATATCAGATGAAGAACTTCTCCAGAAGATAGCGGACCTGGAGCAAGCTGTGACCAAGTACGGCTCCTACAAGAACATGACGTACGTGGAGCTGAGTGACGGAGCGAGGATGCCGACCCTGGCTGTGGGGACGGCTCTGGTAGGTCTTTATGTAGGATTAAAATGATTCTCATGATACTATAAAGTAATGATGATTGTTATTATATAAAGTTAGATATATATTATTTGTCATGTCATGTCTCATTCAGAATTTCTCGTCGTTTTGATTGTTGGACTTTTAGAAATGAACTTAAAGTTTCTATAATAATATTGTGATGATAATTATATAGGGTGGCAATCAGAGGTTTCAGAAAAACTACGAAACATACTTATATGTATATTATAATAAGAATTACATATTGAAACTTATAACATATACCTAAGACTACATGATTGACCCGATGTTAGGATAGCAATACCATTCCATAGCTTGTGTGTATCAGGAATCTTCTGGTTCACACGCTTGGTGTTCGTTCCGTGGAGTCAGCGGCGTCAAGAGTTATATATTATACATACAACCATGTCGCCCCGGCGATGTTCATTTGTTTTTTAATACGTATGATGTACGTAACATGATTTTTTCATTTTATTCCCCAGCTGGAGAGTAGTCTCGTGAAGCCGATCATTAAAGCGGCGATATCTCTCGGTTACCGAGCTATAGACAGCGCCTTTATCTACGCTAACGAACGGGCGGTCGGTGAGGCGGTCAGGGAGAAGATACAAGACGGAACTGTGAAGCGGTGAGTTTAATATATGATGATAGGAACGTATTATTTTATGTTAAAGGTCGCAAAAGAACAGAATGTCAACTTGGCGGGTAGTAGCCAGTAGCGTGCACACCATAGATGCAAATAAGCACTGCATATCCTACCCATATAACAACTAAACCTATATTATTTAATTCTTACTTACATATTTTTAATCATACATTACGAAATACAAATGTTTACAGACATTTAAATTGACATTTGATTCACGATTTTTATAGTATTTTATATTTTCGATCGGCCGCTGCTAAATTTATTAATAAGCGAAGTAATCAGAAAATATTAGTTTCGGAATACGGAGAATACGGAGTAATGGAATTAAAAAAATGACAGGAAAAGGTGGGAATAGGGAAAGTGCATCCGTCTCTCTCACTCATCATACTAAACGCAGCCATTAAAGACTACTTCACACTGGTCTTCTGTGAAAGGGTTGTACTTCAACGAGACAGACCATGTTTTATCTGCAGTTACATGACTACAGCTAGGCTCTACCACATACAGGAATACTGTTAAAGTTACTGCTCCAAATTTATTATTACGGAAGATATCTTTGAGGCTATGTAAAAGTATAACTGTCTGAATTCTCCCCAGGGAGGACCTCTTCATCATTTCCAAGTTGTGGAGCACGAACCACCGCCGTGACCTGGTGCCGCGCGCCTGCAGACAGTCCCTGGAAACGATGGGGCTGGACTACTTCGACCTCTACCTCATACACAACCCTATGTCCTTCAAGGTACATCCGAGGAAATCACACGTGATTTCAGACATTCTCAGTTTGTTTAGTAGAATATAAATGAGGAGATTACAAAATTCATTAAAATACGTATGTTCATAGGGTACTCAAATTGTGATAAAATAATATTTAGTTCGCGAGAGGCTTTTAAGGAAAATATTAATAAAGTATTATTTGGTTGTCATAATATTATAATTACTTATAAAACTTAAACTGTAACAGCCACCAACAGTACAAGGCTGATAAGTTTGATGGAATTGGGCGAAAATAATAATGGATTACATTTATATACAGAGATTTATTAAGATGATACCACACAGTGCAAAACGGTTGACAGAAGGTATTATAATACAATCAGATTGACATATTGTGGCATAGATAGTTAAGACAATTCATATGTTTGGTTTATACTAGTTCCAACAAAGTTGAATACACAACTGGCTATAAAGAATCTGTTATTCATTTCAGGAGGGCGCCAACCCGGTGCCCAAGATCGCGAACGTGATCCAATACTCGGAGCACGACTACCTGGAGGCCTGGTACGGCGTTGAGACCTGCATCAAGCAGGGCCTCGTGAGGAGAGGAGGAGTCAGCAACTTCAACTCGGTCCAGGTGCAGAGAGTTCTGGACAAAGGAAGGATCAAACCCGTCATCAACCAGGTCGAATAGATTAGCAATTTCAAATTATACTAAACAAAACAAAGAAATCGTGGTGGCTTAGTGGTTAAAGGTCCGCCTCTCGTACATGAGGTAGGTTTGATACCTGTCAAGTACCAATGTGATTGTTCCGAGTAATATGTACTTAAAAGTATTTAAACAACACTGATTGATGAAGGAAAATATGAGGAAACATGGACTTAGCAAATTATAAGTTTGAAATCACCAACCCGTGTTGAGCGAGCGTGGTGATTAATGCTCAAACCTTCTCCATGTGAGAAGAGGCTTTTTTGCAGTGGGATCTGATAGGCTGACGATGATGATGACAAAAATTTTTGTTTTAAGTTACTGACAGATAAACTGTATTATAGTATAAATGAATTGTTTAACGACAAATTTTAAATTATATTGTATTTTTATTTCAATTAACTGACAAATAACTATTTATTTATAATGATGATATTGAAAACGATTTATTTAAATTATAAACTTTATATTTGTAAACATTCCTACAAAGGAAATCCATTAGTAGTGTTATTATTAGTTTATTCAAAATATTTGCACGCCAAATCTGCAGAATATGTTGGACCACTGTAAATGTATGAAATACCTTTGTTAACCCATATTCGAGCAAAATAAACAATTATTATTATTATCAAAACCTATAAGTTTAGTATAATCTTCATCTTATTTTCTTCCCCAGGTGGAGTGTCACCCTTACCTGAGTCAGTCTCGTCTCCACGACTACCTCACACCCCGCGGCGTGACTCTCAGTTGTTTCGGTGTGTTGGGGTCCTCGGGCACCCCTCGTCACCTCCGCTCCCCCCTCCCTCCTGTCATCGGCGACCCCCTCGTCAGAACCATGGCCGCCGGGCTGGGAGTAACGCCGGCTCAGTTACTCATTAGGTGAGGATCAGTTCAGTATACTAGAATATATTCCCTGTTCTAATAGATATCCCATCACCTCTTCCTGTGCTAAATGCTAGGTAGAGCCTAGTGGTCAAGTTACTACAGCTCAAACATGGGCTGACTCGACCGGGGAAGTACCACCCTCTCACAGAAGATCGGTGTGAAGTAGCCTTTAATGGCTGCGTTTCGTATGATGAGTGAGAGAGCCGGTTGGCCTTTTTCCACCCTTTCCATTTCCCTCCCTCTTTTCCCCAATGAAGAGTGGCCACACAACCGCGCTATCTACATTGAAGATGTCAATAGGCGACGGTACCTTCATCAGGTAGGCCGTCTGTTCTGTTGCCCCCTTTTCCCATAAAAAAATAGTCTATTAAAATTCAAACCAAGTGTGTATATATAAGTAATATCTTCTATATCTGTTATACACATGTTCCAGCTACCAGGTCCACATGCGTCACCAGGTGGTGGTGAAGGCGTCCTCGGCGGCTCATCTCCACGACAACCTGCTGGCCCTACAGCTACACCTCGAGCCGGCGCACGTGGCCGCGCTCTCCGCACTCAACAGGAACAAGAGGACCTTTACATTCCAGGGGTGAGGACTAATTACTGACAGCCTTCTGTTAATACTTACGAAGCCTGTCTAGTTTCATATTCTCTTTCTCTCTGCCTCTCTCGCTTTATTAGTGGCGTTTCCTTATAAATTTCGCCAATTTCATGTGCCCATATTATACTGAACTATATAAAGTCAGTGGTGTCGTAGTGGTTAAAGCCTGCCTCTCGTTGCCGAGGGCGCAGGTTCGATGCTGGCAAGTACCAATGTGATTTTTCCGAATCATACTCGTATGTACTTTCAAAGAGTATTTAGACATCACTGTCATACGGTGAAAGAAAACATCGTGAGAAAACCTGGAGTTATAATTTCACAATTATAAGTTTGAAATCACCAACCCGATTAATGCTCACCTTCCCATGAGAAAAAGAGGCCTTTGCTCAGCAGTGGGCTCTGATAAGCTCAAAAATAAAATTAAAAAATAGATTTATGAATTGTTAAGTTCACAACCAAATATAACCAGTGGCGCCATCTATGTGTGTCTTTACTATATGTTTTTGAATAAAATCAGTTGCTAACTAGGTGAATGAACAAGGTCGCGAGTAGAGAATAAGAACTTTAATACTACTGAGATCCTTGTTTCATATCCAATAATACTTCAATGCTTATCATTCAGACAGTCTTTATAGATGACACACTACATACTTCCCAACTAATATTATAAATGCGAAAGTAACTCTTTCTGTTACGCTTTCACGCCTAAACCACTGGACTGATTTTAATGAAATTTGGTACAGACATAGAGTTAACCTGGAGAAAGAACATAGGATAACTTTTATTCCAGACTTTTGAAAGGTTCCCTTGGAAACGCGATATAACCGAACTCTACGCGGGCGAAGTTGTGGGCGGAAAGCTAATAGTGTATAAAGAACACTTGACTAATGTATGAATCGTCTTGTTTCAGGATGGGTGACACACACAAGAACTATCCCTTCAAGATACCATTCTAACAGTGACTCGTTTGACTTTTTTATATTTTTTATCCTTTTTTGACATTTTCATAACTATTTCTTTTGTTTAGAATAAGTTTCCTCTTATCTTTTTTGCTATTGTGTGTGTTTTTACCAATTACGTAGTTTCTAAGACCGCCATATTCTAATAAATTTAGTTTTTATTATTATTAATAGTTAAGTTTCTATTGTGGCATTTATTTTGTATTTTTGACTGATTTTATTTCAAAGTATGTTTTTTATAAACGATCACATTCTGCTCGTGTTTAGAAATAAGAACATAATAAGAGTGTTTGAATTCAACGAAAATAAATAAATCTTATGAGTTTTGTAAATGAACGGAGTTATGTTTTCTACTTTGATATAATTAAATAATTTAAGACGATTTATCACTGAAATTAATCATTTATTGACAATTCAATGTCGTTAATAACTTAATAACAATAACTTTTAGACTAATACTTAAAAGTTATTATTTTAACCACATTTTAGTGACATAAATTATTTCATTTCAAGCCTTGACAAAGATCAGATTAAAGATTTTTTTTGTTTAATATAAAACTCTATAAGCTTATAAGAATAAGTTTCATGATCATTCTAATAACCTTTGATATAATTTTATTATTAATTTCAATTTTATTAAAATCAGCGAATATAGACTTAACAATTAAATTTTTCCTACACGTTACATTTCGAAGTTAGTTAAATAATAAAGAAACATCATCGTTCTTATAAATGCTTATTTTATTGTTATTTTTTATTTTACTACACTATCTTCCACCGATAGATGTCTCTGATATTAACGTGTTTGTAATTTGACTAGGTTTATACATATCTTATATATTTAAATGAGCAATTCTTGTATATTTATTTATATATAATTGGAATCTCGGTATCCGTCTAGCTAGGAATAATTTTTAGAAAATGTTATTTTATTAAAAAAAATAAAAAGGAGTCGTTTAAAATATGACTCTTCCTGACATCTATTGGCGAATAGTAATACTACTTTTTGCTAAATGCTTTTACTAATTGCTTTAACGACACAACAACAGATGGCGTTGTTGAGTAACAGGAAGTCAATAATTTAAGTTAGACTAAAAAATAATTATTGATTGATATTGTTTTGTGTCTTGTTAACGTGTTTACTTAAAAATGCCTAAACAAATCAAAAAAACACAAAATACTATTAATTCCTAAATACAGAGCAAAGCTCGGTAACCAGGTATTATACATATAGAAAGAGAACGAAAGACAGAGAAGTATTACAAACATGATATTTATTACAACAATATAACATGATATAATAATTTAATGTATGTGTGTCCGTGCGCCGGCGGGGAGTTGATTTCATTCATTAAACATTATATTGTTTGCTTGTTCTTACTTCACTTTATGTTCTGTTTTGTTGGTTTGCTTGAGAAGTCCTGAAACAGACAAATATTATATATGTATATAATAAATAACACTATGTATGTCCTGCGTCTATGTCTGTCATGTTTATGATAATTACTAAAGTAAACTTCATATATCGAAACTTCAATATTTTAATCCTTATTAATTTAATGCATTTTGTCACAAAAATCCCAGGAATTTTACATATAGTATAATCTTAAATTTCAAACAAATTAATTATAACTATATTTCCCCAGTTTTTCTCATATAACTTAATTTTTTCAGATGTTTGAACCCTATCCAAATCAGTTCAGTAGTTCTTTACACACATATATATATATCTTATACACTATATAATATCACGCGTCTCCTCACGTGGTATGTTTGTCTTCAGTGTGTTGGAGCCGCTCCGAGGTGGACACAGCGGAGTCTTCACATTCCCTGTACAAATAATAACATATATAATATACATATATATAGTCATGTTTATTTTTTTCTTTGGTCAAGGAATTTGCTATAATATTCTAAAATATCAACTTAAAAGTTTCACTAAAATCTGTCTAGTGTGTATGTAATACTAACTCGTGTTAACAGTAAGTGTATTCTTCTTCAGTGTCTTCTTTAAACTCTTCTGCGGTATTCTACTCTTAACATCATTTTTCTTATTTAAGTCCGTTCTCATTTCTTTATTCTTATTAATTCTTTTATTCTTATTGAATCTCTCCGACAAGTGTTCTGTTTTTGTTACATTTATTTTTTTATCTAATTTCTTTGTTACTACATTCTTCTGTGTGTGATTGTTTTCTTTTGTATTATCTTTTTTTATCTTTTCGTTTCCTGTATCTAATCTTTTATCCCTCCCCGTGTTCGGTGAGTCCGTGGCCTTTCTTTTATCTTTATATATTTTGTTATCTTTATGTTTATCGGGGTCCTGTATGTTCGTTCCATCTGTAACATCACTCCTACTATCTTTGTCACCGTCTTTCTTCCTCGTATCTTTAATATTTTTCTTGGGTATATTCTTCGGTGGTGCCATGATCTCCCCCGGTCCTTCAGCGGAGCCCCGGTCCTTCGCCCTCCCTGCCCCTGCCTGTACACACGTGTCTATAATCTTCACTAACAGGCCGGTCCTCTCTTCAGTGTCCACGGCTGGTTCTGACAGCTGCCGGTGAGCTGATGATATGATCTTTATGTAGGATTCATCTGGAATTAATATTAATAAGAATTAATATATATATACAGATACAAATACCTATATATTTGTATAATACAGACATGTATATACATATACACATATTAATTTTGTACAAATATTTGATTTCATTATGGTTAATTATTTTTAAATGAATATATTTTTCATTTTCATTATATTCATCATCAGATACATCAGTAATTACTGTGGTTGATTGTAACACAGAAACAATAGGCATATGATATGAGAAACAAGATACATATGTTATCGAGTGAAGATCAGAAAGATATTTAGAGAAAACTAAAAACGAACTACTGACTGAGATATGTACATTCCAGAAATATTAGTTTAATTTAAATGAATACTCATCAATGTGTTAGAAACTTAGAACTCATTACACACTATATCTAATATATAAAATTCTCGTGTCACAGTTTTCGTGCCCATACTCCTCCGAAACAACCTGACCGATTTTGATGAAATTTTTTGTGCTTATTCGGTAGCTATGAGAATCGGCCAACATCTATTTTTCATCCCCCTAAATGTTAGGGGTAGTCCACCCCTAAATTTTTTTTTTTTATTTTTTAGACAAAATTTTTAATTACTATTTTTTTATGATACAACGTACAAAAATACATACAATCCTAAATTTTCACCCTTCTACGATCAACCCTCATTTTTTAATAGCTATTTTAGTAATTTAATCATTTTTCATCTCCGGTCGATAACTGATCAGTCGTCATTTAATAAGTTATCCCCGCCAGATATCTACAGGTGTCACTTCTGACCCAGTAAACAGCACGGAGTAGGGATGAGAACGAAGCCGGTCTTCTGTTTCTCTCACACAATTAGACTTCTCTCACTCCCTACACAGTTGTCGGCCATCGTTATTGTTTGTGCATCAAGTGTAGTAGTAACGTTGACAATTATTATTTTGCTAGCTCAGTGTAACTCTCATATTAACTATTAATCATTCCTAATCACTTCAAAACACGGAGATTTATGGCTTTAATAGGTAAACTCCAAAAATATAAATAAAAAAACGTAACAGATATTTCTTGATTATAGGGCGAAACGAAGTTCGCCGGGTCTTCTAGTATATGTATATAATCTATATCAACGGACCCATATACTCCAGGTCAAACTTCATCTTGTGCTGGAAGTCAGCCAGTACGGACCACTTGTTCTGTAACTCCCACACCACCTCCAGCACTTCACCGCACCTCAGTAGGTAGCCTCCCTCCGCCTGGAAATATATACATTATTATGATACAAGAGATAACACTCCATGTATTCACGGTGCGTGTGTCGGGTCCATCGTTGTAGTGAGAGGAGCTTCAACAGTGACTGGGACTTGTGACCCAGGTGTAGGTTTAATATATATAGAGAGACGAAACCTCTCATCATTCCATGTATTCACGGTGCGTGTGTCGGGTCCATCGTTGTAGTGAGAGGAGCTTCAACAGTGACTGGGACTTGTGACCCAGGTGTAGGTTTAATATATATAGAGAGACGAAACCACTCATCATTCAATGTATTCACGGTGCGTGTGTCGGGTCCATCGTTGTAGTGAGAGGAGCTTCAACAGTGACTGGTACTTGCGACCCAGGTGTAGGTTTAATATACATATATAGAGAGACGAAACCTCTCATCATTCCATGTATTCACGGTGCGTGTGTCGGGTCCATCGTTGTAGTGAGAGGAGCTTCAACAGTGACTGGTACTTGCGACCCAGGTGTAGGTTTAATATACATATATAGAGAGACGAAACCTCTCATCATTCCATGTATTCACGGTGCGTGTGTCGGGTCCATCGTTGTAGTGAGAGGAGCTTCAACAGTGACTGGGACTTGTGACCCAGGTGTAGGTTTAATATACATATATAGAGAGACGAAACCTCTCATCATTCAATGTATTCACGGTGCGTGTGTCGGGTCCATCGTTGTAGTGAGAGGAGCTTCAACAGTGACTGGTACTTGCGACCTGGTAAGGGACACCTATCTAACGCGTTATACGCTCACCTCCACCGTACAAGCTCCTCTCTACCATATTGTAATGAACCTACCTACATCCCAACTAAAGTAACTCTATCTGTCTGTTTGTTACGCCTAAACCACTGAACTGATTTTAATGAAATTTGGTACAGACATAGAGTTGACCTTGAGAAAGAACATAGGATAGTTTTTATCCCAGACGTTTGAAAGGTTCTCTTGGAAACGCGATGTAACCGAACTCCACGCGAGCGAAGCTGCGGGCGGAAAGCTAGTGTACCATATAACCATTTTCTTACCCGTGGTTCCATGTGTAACCTATGTGAATACTTCTCCGCTAACTTGGACAGTGTGGCTCTTCTGGATCTGTGAGCTCTGCTGTAACTACACAACACCTGCAACACAATAAACATTATACTTTATCTGTTAGACATGTTGTTGTGGTAGCTTAGTGGTTAAAGGTGGACCTCTCATGAATAAGGAAGGTTCGAAACCTGGCAAGTACCATTGTGATTGTTCCGAGTCATATGTACTTAAGAGTATGTAGACATCACTGACTGATGAAGGAAAATATGAGGGAACATGGACTTATATTAAATTATAAGTCTCAAGTGAGTGTGGTGATTAATGCTCTTTCTCCATGTGAGGAGAAGCCTTACAGCAGTGGACTCTGACAAGATCATGATGATGATGGATGTATATGTAGTGTTTTTCTTACACTATATGTCTGTCTGCTTGTTCTCAATACTCTATTAAACTGCTGAATGTATATTAAGTAGTAATTCAAGTCACATTAACCTGTACAGCGTCGCTGGGCGTGTCCACACTAGCGAGCACGGATGCGGCCAGCTCCTTGTGGTGTGAGGTCTTGATGGCTGACACTTGGAGCTTGGAGAAGAAAGGCGGGGAGGAGGGGGCCTCCTGATGAACAAGAATATAACATACATATATATAACTAGCTGCGCCCCGCGGCGTTACCGGATTCCCGGGATGTAAAGTAGCCTATGTGTTATTCCTGTATGTCAGCTTCCTGCATACAAAATTTTATTCAAATTGGTTCAGCCGTTTGTAAGTAACAAACATACTCACACACTCACAAACTTTCGCAATTTTAATATTAGTAGGATACAGGACCTTCTATTATTAAACAATGATACCGAGCAGATCTATATAAAGAGTTTGTTTAGAGCTAGTGGTGCTCATTGGTGACCGATAGAAAGTCACATTTTCTTTTAGTATACAACACACAGTTGTAATAAGTATCTTTGATTTTATAATTGAAAACACTGACTGGTGATTTAGAAATTGTATTTTTTATAAAATTTTTGTATCATTATGGTGGATATTAAATTAGTTTTGTCTTAAGAGAAGTTTTGAAGCAATTGGTTTTGTTACTTTTAAGTTCTGACAACATAAACTATAGGGCAGACCCTGGTTAAAGCTGGGAAACTGCCAGGAAGAACACAAACTATAAACACATAATTTAACTGGGTCTGTTTGTTGATAGTTACAGTATGTGTCACTCACCTCTGTGTATACAAGGAAGCTCATGGTGAATGGCACCAGGTCTGTACGACACTCTACAGTCACCTCGCGACAGACACCGGAACAAGACACACTGAAACAATAACATACAACTAGGAATATACTCGGGCATCATCAGAATTTAGGAATAGTTATACTTGGGTTAGGTTAAAATAGTAATGATTGATTTAGTCAGTGGTGTCCTAGTGGTTAAAAGGTCCGCCTCTCATGCATGAAGGCGCAGGTTCGATCCTTGCAAGTACCAATGTGATTGTTCTGAGTCATATGTACTTAGACATCACTGGTTAATGCATTCCCAAAAGAGGGTTGATGTCAGGCAGGCAGCCAGTTGTAAAGACAAACTGAGATGACTGTTTAATGTAAACAACAGACAAAGTCATAACATTATAGATCAACTGCTTTAATATCCAAGAGGAGATCTAGAAGTAGTAAATTCACATATAACTATAGTACAGAAATTCTTATACTTATTCTAATTATTAATTACCCATTTTTCTCTATATATAAGCTGCAATATTGATAATCTTGGTACCAATCTGTTCAATAATATAAATACTGAAGACACCAAATATATTTCTTACCCGTCATCAATGGGAGGGTCGACCAATACATTGACCTCCGACTGCAGTATCTGTAGGTTGGTGAGCTCCTGTGTAGCGTGGAGACACGTCCGGAGCATGCTGGCCTCCAGCTTGAGCTCTGTGATAGAAGGACCGCTGTTGATGGACAATTCAGGGAACTCCTCACTGTCTGAACTGGAATAATTACGACGAATGATTGATACAGAGAACTAATGGAACATTATTATTATATTACTTTAATAACATAAAAAGGACTACTTTTCGATATAACTATATATATATATATTTAGGAATTTCATACCTTCTTCCTGTTTGTAAACAACGAAAAATATTTCAGATGCATCGTAAAGTATGTCTTTATCTTAACTACCCGTTACTTGATTAAATAATAGTTATTATTATGTCTTAATATACACATTATAAGCTCACCTGTCGTCATCATAATAGCTTGAGTTACTTTTATTATTTTTTAATTCCTCAATTCTGTTATCATAGTATTTCAATTCTTTCAATATTTCCTCTTTACGTCGAAGTAGGGCTTCCTTTTTATTATTTCTGTGCGCCATTTTTACAATAACACATGAGTATTTTTAAGTATTTAACCCTTCAAATGTTTATAATTGTTTATTTAAACTTCTGTTATTACTTCTTATATTTTTAACTTCTTAACAATACAAAATAACGTATTTCTTGTATTGAAATATGAGTACAATGTTGCCATCGTAAAAAATATAACAACGTTGAGGATTTGCACCAAATTTTTTTTAACCAAATAATAATTTCTTATTAAAATTTTATTACATTAATTAACATGATTAATAGTTGTTAAGATAGATGTTCTAGGACAACCATGTAGGTTACTATTTTTCTTTTAACCCAAGTTTACACGATTGCACCTTTTTTAATTTAAGAAAAACATTATATTTCTCTCTTTATTTAGAGACTACATTATACAACGCTTATTGTATGATATTTTGTAGTAACAAAGATTGATTCTAAAATGATATAATTTTTTCGTACCATAAAAAAATTAATTATACAAAAACTTTAAATATGTATATATCTATATGATAATCAAGTCTGATAGTATATTTTTGCTATTATCGTTATATACCAACTGAATATAACATTGTAATTAAAATAATCAGCTCTTATGAATACTTTTGATGAAATAAATCGATAACTATTGACTTGAAATGTACGCTTAAAGTGGATGAAAGGTCAATAATCTTGATTTTACTTACTAAAAAAGATTAAATATAATAAAAAAGAGGAAAAAATACACAAAAATATAAATAATAATGTTTTATATACATTTTATGTGAGACTATACGATCTCTGCAGGTCATGCTCTGCGCCCCGGCGACCCATCATGACAAACTTGTCAAGTGCCAAATGTATTGGCAGAAATTATTATAATTGTTTGATGAAGACAAAATATAAGCAATAATGTGACGCGTACGATCCAACGAAACATTTTATAAGCTTTAATGGCTGTTTAAGTGTATATAATAAATTTTATGGCTATTAATAGATTCGTATAGGAAAAATCATATCTAAATGTGTGTTGGTTCATAATACTCGTTATTGTAGTTCATAGTTCAATGTAATGTGCGTTCGGACAGAAGATACTTTTAAATTTTAATGTAAAAGTGAAAAATTAAATGATAGCTTGCATCCGGTGGAGAGTTTGAGTAAGAATGGGGCAGTCCGGCAGCGCGATTCCAGGTAAGAACGATAATTGTACTCTAATTGTAGATATTAGCTTACTAACTAGACTAATACATTGTTTTCATAAAAAACTAACCTACTTCCTTGTTCAAAAATTCTCAAATATGTACATAGAATTTAATCTTTAATTTTTTCGGTATTTTTTCGTAAAATTATAGAAAAAACGATTTTCCAATTGGAATTTTGTGATGATCTTGTATCACCATCGTTGTGTTTGTGTTGAGGTCGATCAAGGGTTAAAGGTCGATATAATTATTGTGTTTACTAGAATACAAACAGGAGATTAGTTGGCTATCATTAGAATTTGTTTCTTCAAGTGTATCAACTATAGAGGTATATATATATATAGATTTGATTTAAGCAAATATTTGTATAGAATTGAACCCGTTAGCCTCTTAATATATTTTCCATTTCCATTGCCAACTGAGCCGTATGATTTTTTTACAATGAAAAGTATTTTCTTCATTTTAACATATAAATTAATATTCTATATTTTTTATCTTTATTATAATTAATTTGCTTAAATGGACACAAATTTATTCCTATGTTATGTATATTAAAAATTAAAAAAAATTGTTTTAGAAACTAATCTTTATTTAGTTACAATACATGACTAATACTCCCGACTCTGTCTGTTAAATCTCTAAGTTCAATATCACAGTACTTTCTTAGTTTACTTCATACATTATATATGAGGTTCTGAGTTACATACATACATACATGAGAGAGAGCGCTGTTATATATAATAATTATTGTGTTTGTGTGTATGTTTGTTAGTGAATTATATGAGAACAAGGACTGTGTAAAGAGATACCTTCTTGTATGGAATGTACATTATTATTGTAAGAAATTTGACCTTATAGTGACTTGGATTCTATTTATCTACTATCTTAAAACAATTTAAATAAGTTTTTTTATATCAAAGATACTTCCTATTCAACCTCCATGGTAAAAATCTATATTCTGTAACTGAACCCGGGACTTGTTCATGGTGCCTTGTGTTCAACAATACTCACAACTAACTATTGTGTGTTGTGCAATTAAAAAAAATATGTTGCAACAAAAAATATATATGAAACCTTCACGGTTCCCAACAGAATCAGCTGATTTGTATATTATGTATGTGTGTGATATTTTGAAAGAAAATATTTTATATGAAAGTGATATCTATCCACTTATAAATAAGATCTATTTTCTAAAGTCTTAAAGTTTGCAATTTTTTAATTCTATTCCTATTTCACAATATTTCGTAAACACGTAATGTTGTATAAAAATAGACTTTAAATTCATACTATTAAGATCGTTCTCAATAGAATTCTTTTTCACACTCACAAACAAAGTCTTGGCGCAATTTCGAGTAATTCCAAAATTCAAATTTGGAATAATTCGACTTCATTGAACAATTAAACGTCTTAAGTTTGAATCTATTCAAACAAAATTTAACCTTATATCTTGTTAATAGAATCCATATTCCACTGTCCAAGTTCCCTCCACCAGCTGACTGTCATCTGTCCCGCTACCTGTCATTCCTCTTTTTTTTTTTCGGCCGCACGTGTTCCGCGACGCAAAGGTCCAGTGCTAAACGGCCGGAGGACCTCGTTCTAATATTGAACCTTATCCGAACCCAAAGAGGTCCTATATCGCTGGTTCGCATAAATTGCACAAACAATACAACAGCACAAAGAGTTCGGTTATGCAAAGAGGTTTTTGTCGTGTTTCTTATACAATCAGCTGATGCGAACACAGTCATATGGTCGATCAGCTGATCCGAGACGCGTACAAAGAGTTTGAGAGAAAAGAAATTACTCGTCTTACCTGAGAATTGTTGAGTTTATTTTTATATACAATTTAAGTAAAATAGAAATAGACGTTCTTAAAGTCTATAAGTATTCTAGTTACAGAACAATCAGCTGACATACATACATACATATAAATTCTATTCCATTCAATGTGATGATGACCTATCATTGTCACATCCAGTTTATATGACTATTCCCTTTGCAAATATTTTCACTCGTCCTCAAAGAATGCGCTTCTTATCCATAGTAATGTCTATTTTTACTTCATAATTATTATTTTTAAGTAGAAAGTGGACTCGTTTAACATTTACGGCTGTTCGTTTAATTTCACAATACACAAGGTGTTTTTGGGAATGTTGAGGAAAAAATATGGCGCGTGGAGCAGATGTTACACACACACACACACACACACACACACGTACAGAGAGCTACATAGACGAAGGTGTTGTTATATAAAGATGAATATACAGGGTGACTGGTGAATTACTATCAATATTTAAGGAGAACACTCGGTACATGATTCTCATTCGAATTATGTAAAAAAAATAGGTACTTAATTTTTGACCAAATTTCCGTATAAATAAATAAAGTGTGGACACGTTCCAAGTGTTCCTAGTGTGGACGCGTGCGGCGGCGTGCTGATACAACAACACGCCGCCGCACACGTGTGTGTGAGTGTGTAGTGTAGAGTAATCTGTAGGGTGTTCATACGATGCGTAATTAATTACATAACTTTTGGTTAACTTTACTTAGAAGTTTATTAATATTTATGTTATATTAATTTTTATTTCGTCATATATGATCGTCAAAAATCACGTCCTCAAATATCGATAGTAATTCACCAGTCACCCTGTACATACATATATTTATATATATATGAGATTGTTTGTCCCTATTTGTCTCATGATCACGAAAATTGGCGATAGTACATAATAGAGACGAATTATATACATATATATATACATATATGTATATACATATAGACTGACGTAAAACAAAGATAATCATGTTTCTACAATTTATTCTTTGTAATATATAGTTGTTTTAAATTTATACATATAATAACTAGTACGGCAGCTCTGCCAGGTTCACACATACACACACACACTCGTGTTAAATAGTAAAACATAACCCACCTCAACGAGATCGGTTGAACTCGGCACGAGCTGAGACAAATGTGATCTGAAAGAGTAACGAAAAATATAGATTATAGGTAAAAAATATAATATACTATCATCATCAGCCTATCAGAGCCCACTGCTGTAAGGCATCTCCTTACATGGAGAAGGTTTGAGTATTAATCACCACGCTTGCTTAAGACGGGTTGGTGATTTCAAACTTATAATTTGCTAAGTCCATGTTTCCTCATATTTTCCTTCATCAGTCAGTGATGTCTAAATACTCTTATAAAGTACATATGACTCGGAACAATCACATTGATACTTGTCAGGATCGAACCCGCGCCCTCTTGTATGAGAGGCGGATCTTTAACCACTAGGACACTACGACATTATTACATACTATAGATTTATTATATATGTACTAGCTTTCCGCCCGCAGCTTCGCCCGTCTGGAGTTCGGTTATATCGCGTTTCCAAGAGAACCTTTCAAAAGTATGGGATAAAAACTATCCTATGTTCTTTCTCAAGGTGAACTCTATCTCTGTACCGAATTTCATTAAAATCAGTTCAGTGGTTCAGTCGTGAAAGCGTAACAAACAGACAGACAGAGTTACTTTCTCATTTATAATATTAGTAGTATATCGTTCATATATCATCATCACTAGTACTCGCCCCGCGTCTCTCGTCATCTGCCTCATCCAAGGTGTGTTATATTTTTTCCGTCAGCTTCCCGTCCGTTTGTTCACACACGCTGGCTGCTGGAACACACCTGGTCACGAACAACAGGACAAACATACATACATATAATAGTCCCTACTAATATTATAAATGCGAAAGTAACTCTGTTTGTCAAGCTTTCACGCCTAAACCACTGAACTGATTTTAATGAAATTTGGTACAGACATAGAGTTGACCTTGAGAAAGAACATAGGATAGTTTTTGTACCAGACTTTTGAAAGGTTCTCTTGGAGACGCGATATAACCGAACTCCACGCGGGCGAAGCAGCGGGCGGAAAGATAGTATTATATACGTTTTCAGTAGGTCAGAGAATCGGTTTCTATAATATTTTTTATATACGTAAGTGATAAGGGTTATTCATCCTTAATTTTTTTTTATTTTTAGGACGAAATTTTTTTGCTTCTATTTCTTATATGGCAAATATATATTACTTTCTGCCCGCGTCTTCGTCTGTTTTAGTTTTAGAATTACTGGTACGAACTCTGTTTCTTAAAGACAGTAGATAAGATTTTGTATTTGATCAACTTATTTTTTCTATTTTCAATCGTATGTAAAGTATCCTATGTCCATTCTATGTTCTAATCTATCTCTCCGCCAATCTTCATCCATATCCGTACAGTCGTTAGAGTTATATATAGTGTAACTAACACGACTTTCCTTTATATATTTTTAAGTATAGTCGGGGTCGCGTGCTAGTATGTTATAGTTGTAATGATCTTATTAATATTGTAATCGGAGTAAAGACACAAGATGCGTTTTTTCGGCGGTTCATTGACCTCTAACAGATGACAAGATGCACACTACAGATGACGGAGGTGAACTGACTACTAATATATGTATAAAAGTATTTAGAGATATGTAGTACTCAGTACATTTATCAAGACTGTATATAGGTTTTGTTTAATATGATTAATGAAGAAAATTATCTTCTTTCTGGCAATTTCCCAGCTTTAGCCAGGGTCTGCCTTCCTATTTAAACTCCTCCACTTTGCACGGTCTTACACATGAAGAAAATTATATTTTATATATATTATTGGTTGTTAAAGTACTAGTGTAAAGCTCGCGTCTCTTTCTCCGGATGGATTTCTATTATATGAAATGAATCGCATCAGAATGGGTCTAGTCTTTGTAAGAGAGCAGTTTGAAAATAATACTACGTGCCTACTGCGAGTATCGTCACACTACACACGGTACATTAAGTTCATCGAATATTAATCTTCGCAAAATTATAGTATTAACATTATATGTAGTGAATTTAAAATTATTATTAATAACTGTATGTAGATTAATAATGTTTAATTATTTTTCTGAAATGATTATTAATTTGTTAACGATAATACGTGGGTTACATGTAATTAACTGATTGTTACAACTCCTTTCTCTTATGAAGTCTCATTAATGGCTTCTAAATACCCTTGGATCATTATATTTAACTAATTTTCTATTATTATTTTTCTCTAAACACAATCACTTTATACTTCACATTGTTTCCGTCCGTGTGTATCTTCGAACCCCTATCTCTGTCTCTCTCCCGCCCTGTCGCTCCGTCTCTGTCACTCGTGAAGTGTGTATGACTGCAGGCGACTTTGTACCGTATGAATATGTAAATAAGGTCTGTATTTGAGTGGGCGTGGCCAGGGCGACAGCTGACGGCTGGCTCCAGGGAGCGTGCTGTGTGGATCGAGGAGCGTCAGTCGGCCGCGAGCCTTCGTCGGGAACGGACGTCGGCCGTGTGGAAGAAGAAGTGTAGCAGAAGAAAGATTAGCGCGAGTGACATGAACTGACGGTTGGTCGAGCAAACAGTTCGTCGGTACATTGTGATATATAAAAGCATTATAAATGATGGGAGTGAGCGACTGCGTGAGCGTGAGGCAGGCCCGGGGCGGCTGCCACTGTCCCGCCTGTCCCCGGGGCTCCGCTCACGGCCCCCGTCTGCCGCCGCAGACCCTCGTCCTGCCGCCCATGGCCCTGGAGCCCGACTCCACGCCCGTGAAGGACAAGAAGGGCTCCAAGATGAAGGTGCTCAAGAAGATCAAGAAGAAGATCGGATTAGGTGAGCACGGACATACATACGACCTGCCCTTATAATAATACTATTAAAATTTTAGTATGAATTATTTTTAATACAGTACAAACCACTAGTTTATAATTTACTATATATGTGAAGTTTTATGAATGTATTACTATCAACTTTACGTGCGTCGTGAATATTGACTCGTACTAAGCTATATACATATATATTTTTTTTCGATTACCCCACAATTGTTAATATATTGAGTGTCAGTAGTGTAGGTCGTTAGAGTGACATGGACCACTGAAATGAGTGTTGTGCTGAAAGAAAATATCCTCGGGCTATGTATGTATTATATATTATATTATATGTATAGTTTATATTATGTTTCTTTATGGCAGACCCTGGCTAAATCTGGGAAATTGCCAGGCAGAAAAAGAGTTTATATGTATTATGTTTAAAATGTCCTAATACCTTTCATATATATATGTACAATGTGTGTGTGTGTGTGTGTATGTGTGTCGGCTCGTGCCATCTGCTAAACTAGTCCCCGGCCCCGGCATCTGTCGCACACCTTGCTCATAATTACCGAACATAAGACGCGCTCCATTTATATGTATACAATTAACATAAAGTAATAATTAAAATACTAATTTAATACCATATATATATGTATATATATTATTACTAATGAGGGTAGTAACATAATGACTGTTCTACCTGGCGTTCTCTTAATAACAAACAATGCGAATTTTCGTCTATACAGGGCCAGATGTCATGAAAGCTGCCGGAAGCAGCGACAGATGTACTTGACTTCCGATGTATATAATGTGTCGTGGTTGTAGTCGCTCAATTGGTTCATAACATATAGTCGTGAATTTGACTAATTCGTAATGTCGCCTGCGGTAAGTCGAGACACGCTTTCTTTGTTTTATAATAATTATATTATCCTTTAATCGTGATCGTGTGTTTGTAATGTTTTGTTTTGTACATTAAATAAACAATGGACGTCCATCCGGCTGTAGTAGTATATACTTATTAAATATATTGTTTGATAGTGAATCATCATTTAACTTATTAACCTATGAGGTTAAAGTTAATTGTACCAAGATTAACAGCATCAGTAGAGTAGGGAGATGAGCTATAGTGTGAGTACACAATGACGAATGGATAAAAACGGCAGATGGAAATATAAAGGTTGTATGAAGAAACAGATGATATATACGGGGTGAGGGGCGAAGGCGAGGGGGGACTTGGATTGTACGAGCTACTAAGACAGACATACACTTATGAATTATACTAGTTTTTGTCTGTGACTTCGTCCGCGTTAATTTCTTCATTAGTAATATACTAACTGCACCCCGCGGTGTTATTCCTGGATGTCAGCTTCCTGTATACAAAATTTTTATCAAAATCGGTTCAGCCGTTTGAGCGTGAAAAAGTAACAAACATACATACACACTCACAAACTTTCACAATTATAATATTAGTAGGATGTATAGCTAACTATATTCAGACTTAGAGGCTGTAAATAACCAGATATCAGAATTTAGTAAGTTTTTCTGTTTCGATCGTACAGTATTATATATTCTATGTTCTAATCTATCTCTCCACCAATCTTCATCCATATCTATACAGTCGTTAGAGTTATATATAGTGTAACTAACACGACTTTCTTCTATATATATCTTTAATATCTTATCAACATATCGGTAATGTACATACTAGTGTCACACCCGGGTTCGTCCGCCGCCTGCCACGTGTAGGAATGTAGCTTTAAAGACAGCTGGCTTGAAGATAAAAAAAGCGTATAGTTGATAAGCTGATAGTACAAAGGCCGCGTGCGCTGAGGGATAAGTTTATTACATAAAGAGCATCAGCTGCTCAGAACACCTTTGGAGTTTTTTTTATTATTTCTAAAGACAGCTGACGGCCGCCATGTTTACTAGCGAATATAATATGATATGATGCATTCGGGCATTCAGTTTATAGATTCGACAATTTAATTTGAATGTTATAAAGAAAATACTCAAATAAATATTTTATAAATAACTAGTTTTTGCCCGCGACTTCGTCCGCGTTAGTTTGGTCAAGAGTAATATATGTAGGTATAGCTGACCAGGCGAACTCTATTCCGTCTTAGAGGCCATAAATAATCAGGTTTTTCCTGTTTCAATCAAACAGAATGATTGACATATTAGTTAGTTGTCAAATCTAATGTCAAAAAAAACGTTTGTATCGGAAATAGAAAAAGGCTGTTTTTATGGTTTTCTCGGCAATTATTAAAATTTTTCTCAACTTTTAAACCTTCCCTGGACTTCTAGGAGTATTTCAAGAGTAAAATTAGCCAAATCGGTTCAGCCGTTCTCGAGTTTTAGGGAGACTAAGGAACAGCAATCCATTTTTATAGAAGATTATCGTGTTAATGTTTAAATTTTTTGTGAATGAAGATTACGTTATTCAGTATAAATTATTACTGATTCGGAAATGCTTTTCTGTAAACAGTGTTATCTGGAAATAAGCGTATCTTTGTCAGTCCTGGTAAATGCCTATTGTTTAGTATTTACTGACCACTAATTCTGACATCTGCTAACCGGTCTGTACGAATAGTTTTCATATGAGTCAATTTAATTAGTGATTTTGCTTATATTCCACCTGCTCTCCATAGTATATCTACTTCTCCGTTAAAGATGCGTTATTTAGGTTCCCTTAAACCTACACCTGGGTCACAAGTCCCAGTCACTGTTGAAGCTCCTCTCACTACAACGATGGACCCGACACACGCACCGTGAATACATGGAATGATGAGAGGTTTCGTCTCAATATTTCCTGAAGTAATTTCATGAAATTAATTCCAGAATTTATGTTATATCTATCGTTTTATGACTTTCTTTGTTCTTCTAAAGTGAAAGTAACTCATAATTGCTTCTAGACTCTTCACAATTCTTCTTATATCTGAACTTCTTATGAACTAGTTTTGAAGAAGAATACTAAATGTATTTCAACTTATTTCTTTCTTTGCCGAAATTACGACGCATCTGTACTTACTTATTCTCGCCATATTGAAAGCTCTTTTTAATTTAACAATAACTAATCCTCCATTTCGTGTAAGTAGTGACGTCACTAAATAATAAAGATTAGTCTTTGGTCATACACAAAATACAAAAGACAATGGCTGTATGGACTTAACTCTCTTTGCCTGTCCTGAATGGGACGAATTAAAAAATAATAATAGTCTATGATCATAATTGTAGATCACCTGTGGTCTATACTCTATGGTCTATGTTACATCAACAAGGTCGTGGGAAGAAAACTAACATGAATATAGTGTTTAAAAATAAACAATGCCGGTCATAATAGTTTAAATATTACTCTTTAAATAACAATGCTATGACTTTATCAACCAGATGTTTTCTGGCGATCCTTTGGTTTTTGGAATTTCGTCTTAGGCCCGCGTGGGAAAGGAGTCACTCGTACTAATGATATACAAATAACAACTCTATGCTAATACAATAAGGTTGAATATTAATTAAACTCATATATACGAGATGTGAATGTATAATAGATCGGCGTTTGACTTCCGACTGACCATCTAATATTACTTATTTTAAACAAAAATAAAGTTTTAATTAATTATATTTTCTTTTTAATAACATATTTAGTTTGAAAGCGTGTGAGTTCTATGTAATTTTTCATATGAAAGTTGCGTACATTCCTAGAATTGTACACCTTCAATGAAATGTCGCCCTGGTACTCACGACTTCATATTGGCGCCAATTAATACGTGTAATTAATAGATACGAACAAAGTCGCTAGTATGACTTCCGTCTATATTAATTAAGGAACCGGATATCAAATTAATATTATTTATTTTTAATAAAAAAAATAGTCAAATTATTCGTATTTTTGTATCGGATGACAAAACGAATCGATACGAAAGGTGAGGTTCCCACGGTCCGTGAGAGCGGGAGACAGAGACAGCGATATTGGGAGGATGTAACGAGTGCGAGAGGGACGGATATATATACATCATACACCGATCAATTACGTAAACAGTTATGTCAATTGTTAAGTGCTATATTAGATGCAATTACTATACATATAAGGTACACAATGGAATGGCGATATTTATAATACTAATTATTATTATTGCGAACGGCTAAAACGTCCTTATCATATTTATGCGTCGCCAAATATCATAATGACTATGTAGAAAAAAATTACATTAAAATTCATAAAAATGTTCTAAAATTGTAACAAACGACACAGAAAGCAAGTAATCTCGAGTAGATTTTTTTGTTAGATAACATTTATGGACGTCTAGACATAGTTTGAACTGACTTTTAACTGGACATTAAAAATAAAAATACAATCCCGCTATATAAATATAACAACAAATATTACTACATTATTTATATTATAGAAACACAATTATCTTGAACGTAAACAGTATCTAAAAATATTAAACCTGTAATTAGGCGTCGCGTCGTAATGAAAACAAAATGGCGGTGACGCGCGTAAAAAAGTACAAGAGTGACAATAACTGTGAGAATCGGATGTACGAGCGTTGGTACAGTTCTTTATTTATAATAATGTTTACGTTGATTAAATGCATTTTTTGTTTGTTTATATTTTATAATTACTTTTGTTTTTACTAAAGCATAGTATTGACGAGTGTATTGTGAATTGTAAATTGTAATTCGCGTAATATATTTTTGTAAATGATCAGTGTTTGTGAGAGAAAAATATAATATAATATTGTCTAATGTGTTGTTTAAACTCTACATATTTATGAGCGTGATGTCGTGGGAAAATGTGTTATAAGAATTATCTCGTGTGCCGGTGAAAGTAACGCGTCGGAGTCGAGATGAGGCAGGTAATGTTTTGTAGTGGATTAGTACATAACTTAGATTATTATCATTACTAATTAGTTGAATAAAAGTCAGTAGTGTCCTAGTGGTTAAAAGGTCCGCCTGGCAAGTAACAATGTGATTTTCCGAGTCATATGCACTTTCTAAGAGTATTTAGACATCACTGATAAT